GAAGGCTGACCTGATGATTCCGGATTATTACTGCTCTAGGAACCCGGACTACGGCTATCATTGTACCAGTGGGATGGTCTGTATGCAGCTGGAGCTGAGCAATGTGCACAGAGGCTTTGACGGATTTGATGAATTCAGTAAGTACAGTACACAGAGGCTTTGACAGATTTGATGAATTCAGTAAATACAGTACACAGAGGCTTTGATGGATTTGAAGAATTCAGTAAGTACAGTACACAGAGGCTTTGATGGATTTGATGAATTCAGTAACTGAGTAAGTCAATATCCATCAGTCAAGCATTTCATTAGAATATGATTGGAATGATTAGATATAAATGCACCCTGTTTTCCCACCTTTATGTCAAAATAGATAGTAGGCAATGGAAAACACGCAAAATGTTAAGATAGGCCTAATTATTTCATGGTTTTCCACTACAAATTAATGATATATTTACAGTAACGAGTTTCTTCACGGTGTATGAAGCTGCATCACAGGAGGGTTGGGTGTTCCTGATGTACCGAGCTATTGACAGTCTCTACACAGAGCTTGCTTTTGTTTACTTCATAACACTCATCTTTATACTGGCCTGGCTCGTCAAGGTATACATGTTCTATGAAATTTCTTTTATAAATAGAGTTCACTTAATTTAAAATTGACGCTGGAACAGGTTAAATCTCTCGTTTTGTTGTAATGGCAGTATCAACTATCTTTAAATAATTTGACTATTTTGTAGAACATCTTTATTGCCGTAATTATTGAGTCATTTGCGGAGATTCGGGTTCAGTTCCAACAGATGTGGGGGTCACGAGGCAGTGCTACAGATTCTGATTCTTCACAGGTAAACACAGTAGATATTAATGCAGGTATTCCCCGTCATAACAGAATATATCACAAGATTGTAAAATACATACAGAGTATATTCTATACTTTATAATTTCTGGGCTCTTTACTCGTAGGTAATGTTATATCTCTTTATTCAAAATCTCTTGGTATATAAAATTTCTTCATGCGGCTGTGTTCAGCCTATGTATTTATGATTATTTGATTTTCTCAATTGGTACAAAATCAATAGAGATGTATCATTGCTAGCTGAGGACTCCATTCATTTAGGTATCATTTAACATTTTAATGCTTGTATTGTTATTCGACCTTTCACTAGTTGATTCATTTACCACATATTTTCAGGCCCTTAATAGGGGAAAAAAAAAAGGAATTTTGTTATTTCTGTTTTTAGGTAATTCAGTGTGAGGGAAACTCCTGGAGGATGGTATTAATTGATGAGAACAAGGCTAAAGGCTTTGCTCCACCTTTCTTCCAGAAGATTCTTTGTTCTAATTTCTTCCATACCTTCTTTCTGTTGCTGGTTTTTGCCAATGCTATCACTGGGGCTACCTTGTCATTCCGGGGTCAGACAGGTGTTGGGAGCAAACTGGATGGCTTTTACTATGCTGAGGTAACTAGGTTTTAATTGAAATATTGTGAGCACACATATGAGATTGGCTTTCTCCTCAATTATCTGTTGGAAAATTAAATTAAGACATAAATGAAATCCAGGCAAATTTTCTACACTACAGAAGGAAACGTGTAAAACAAATCTGAAATGAACAGTGTTATTTACAAATGTTAAAATTACTTCATAAAAATGTGAATCTCTAGCATGCTGGATAGATACACCATCCTTTTCAGGTGGCATTCACGGTTCTTTTTGACTTGGAAGTGCTGTTTAAGATTTGGTGCCTGGGTTTCCAGGGCTACAAGAAGAGACCTTTCCACAAGTTTGAACTACTTCTGGCTGTAGGGACGACACTACACCTTATACCTCAGTGTTATAGGGGACACTTCACTTATTTCCAGGTAGGATTCTACAGTTTAAGATTTGTCTTTGTATAGAATTTTAAAGTTCATTGTATACCTACCTTTACATGGATATTTTTACTGTTTCATCTTTTCCAGGTGCTGAGAGTTGTCAGGTTAATGAAGGCTTCCCCGATGCTGGAGGATTTCTGTTTCAAGGTGTGAGACAGTACCATGTATTAATAAATCTTGTATTTGTCAATGCTTAATACAGTCGTGCATAATCATCATAAAAAAGGATGAATTGGCATTTTTGTGTGTAAATCAATCAAGATTGGTTAACTGCTTACAATTTTCATTTTCACATACATTTTTTTTGTCTCATTGGCATTCAAAGACTGGACTACTGAAATTGTACAATATTGTATTTTGCTAGATTTTTGGACCTGGTAAGAAGCTGGGGCACCTGATCCTGTTTACCATGTGTCTCCTGATTATAGCCTCCAGCATCAGCTTACAGCTCTTCTGTAACATCAGGAACTTTAACAAATTTGGAAGGTTTGATCAGGTGCATACTTATTTCATCATTTACGATTCAAATTTAAATTAAATATAACAATCAAAAAACAAAGAAACAAACTATTAACGAATAGCAAAAATGATACAGTAAAACACGTTTAGCACGAACACGGATATAGCGAATTCACGGATATAACGAAGTTCTTCTGGGTCCCCGGCAAAATTCTTATCAAATCTTCGTAAAATTTTACGGTTATAAGGAACTCTGATATAACGAATTTACGGATATAGTGAACTGATTTTGAGTCCCGTTGAGGATAAATATAATGAATTTTACATCTTTTATAACGAACTTTCAAAGATCTCAAAATTTGATAAATTGAACTGACTTTATTTTCTTTCAGCATTTGTATATAAAATTCAATTCATAATAAAACCTTAGTTATCGAAGGTATGTTTTGTAATATTTGCTTCCCTAACATATTTGATAGTAACACTTGAAGGAAAACATGCATATTGCGAATTCGCTATATATGGTTATACAAATTCGTTATACGGATATAACGAATTACGAATATAGCGAATTAAATTCACAGGTCCCCAGGACTTCGCTCTAACCGAGTTTTACTGTATGAATGCATGTTTATAATTTTGTTAGCTCACCTGATCTAAAATGAGTTTTTCTGATCAAAGTTTAAGTCTTTTGTCTGGCTGTTTGGAAATTTGTCACATTTCTGATCTCTTCTCCAAAGCCATTCAATAAACTTGGCTTAAGCATTCCAAGAAGCACAATGCTCTCAACTGTCAGGTTTTTTGTTAAACATACAATATATTTAGAAAATATTACATGGTAAAGCATTAGCTGCAGAACTGTACCTCTCTTCACCATAGATAAATTATGAAAACATAGTGCATAAATAAGGACAAGGAAGGTATGTACAAAAAACCCATTTAATACCTATAAATTATTTTGTGAAAATTAACGATTCATTTTGTGGAAAATTAAGTTTGAGGAAATGTAATATGTTTGATTTAATAACTAATATTCATTCGGTAGCAAGAGCAAACAGGATCAGTGACATTGCGGGCCTTTGGGCCTTTTGTTATATTTTTATAATGAATAAACTAATTTAATTTTTTTTTTTCAAAATGGCATTGAACATATTATTTGATATGTCTGCTATTCTATACTTGATATCTTACATTTGTTAATATACATATTTTCATGTAACTTGTCAGATTTTGTTATTGTGTCTATTAAGTGCTCCATAATTTTATTCCTCACAGAGTTAGATGATGTTATAACAGTGTACTTCCTAAACACAATTGCAACAAATGGAAAGTATATGCTTGTAAAGACATGAATATGGATACATTTAATTGATTTTTTATGGACAAAAATTATTTATCTTTTACTATGACGTTGTTTATTTAAACTTTCCCACTTTTGATCAGGCTTTTATGTCCATGTTTCAAATTTTGACCCAAGAGGGTTGGATAGAGGTGATGGATGGGGCCATCGAGGAGACAGAAACAGAAGGCTTTTTGTTTCCACTTATTTGTGCCATTTATTTCATTTTGTATCACCAATTTGTCACAGTGGTGAGTAAGGGAGATAATCCCATATGGAATCGTGCCTTACAGGGTTGTGTGCCTTTATTGATACCCAAGGAGAATGGTCCAGTTTTCTCTGTCCCACATGTAAATTATATTCTATGTTAATTTAGGGGGTGGGAAAAGTAATGAGCTGAGTTAAATTTGTTTTGACTTTAAAATTAAAAACGAAATTGATTTGCAATTCACGAAAAGTATATTATTGTCAGTAAAGAGTGGACTGTTCTCATCCTACTCTGATTTGTAAATCTAATTCCGTATACTCACAACACAGTGGTTACCATGTTGATGAACTACTGTATCCTTGGTGATGGACTAACATTTCTGATGTACTTGACAGCATGTAGGTGATGAACACTCAGAGAAAACAGCATGTGCACTCAAGTCAAGGGAGATTACTACTCCTCAGTACTCGGCTTCATTGGATATATACATGTACCTTGTCTTTTGTCAAAACTGCTGTAAAATTTTTTTAATGAAAAAAGTGTTATGAAATGAAAATTCTGCAGCATTTATTACAAACTTGAGCAGTCTTGCATAGACTTGGTATAAGTTAAAACACAATGAAGCTGGGTACTGAGAAAATATTACATGTACGTATTATGAGATGCTTTAATAGTTATGTAATTCTCTTTCCTTAGGCGTTCATGTCTATGTTTCAAATCCTAGCGAATAAGGGCTGGACTGAAGTGATGCAAATCACAATGTGGAAAACAGACCGCTTCTACCCCATAGTAGCAATCTATTTCATTTTCTACCACTTATTTGTTACGCTGGTGAGTACTAAGTCGGCTCAGTGTTTGCTTCAGAGGTAGATGATGGACACTGACTGACGTTAAGTGGCAGCCATTGGCTGGAGATTTAGCGTAGATTAGTCAGCGAGTCCTGTTTCCCGGGTCACAGTGGACGTACTGCTTCCCTTGATTCTCTCAGTGGTTTTGTTACTGTCGATCAGAGGCTTCTTACTAGAGAGTTTGTGTAGACGTAGGAAATATTCATGTTTTGTACGTGTTAGATACAAAAAGAAAGTGTATTAGACATATCACTCAAAAATGTATAAATAGCAGATTTGAAGGAAAATAGGATTCATTGCTTTGGTGATTTAACTTTTATCATGATGAAAATAATCATTAAAGTGGAACTGATAAGGAAGAGATTCATTTCACTTTTGAAATCTGAGAAAAAAATAATGGAAAACAAAATAGATTTAAAATCATTTAATTTGGAAGATATACACTGTATAATGTATATTTTTTTTAATAATCACTATGTGTCTTGTACATGTAGCTCCATAGATCATGTTAGTGTAAAGAATCACTGCATGTATTTGGAATACATGTAATTTATGTTGTCTACTGAATAAACACCCTTGTAAATGTACAGGCACTAAACTAGATGCTGGTGTAAAGTAATGCTGATGCAATAGTAGTCTTTTAATTGACAGCAAAATATGAAGTGGAATATGAGATTCTTTTAAATGTGCACTTATACCTACAGAACAAACCTTTGGTCAGTATTTAGTATGATTCTTTTCTAAATTTAATTTTGTAAAACTGTGAACAAACTTTTTTGAAAAATAGAAATAATTTATTAGCTCATTTGATGTATGTGTCTTAAATTCCCTTATAAAACAGTAAAGAGCCTCTGAATTGAAGCATTAAGTAATGATAAATATTGATTCAGGGTATCATTGGAGAATTATAAATGTATTTAGTGGAATGCTGCATAACAGTACACTCGGATAATGTTATCAGTCTTCAAAAGTTCTGACTTAACCATGACCCAGAAAGTAAAGGGTATACATGGAATTAGTGCCCCATCAACCACTACACTCCTATTGGATCCACCTAACTGTTTAGACTTTTACTAATGTGATAATTCTCCCATAGATATAATCATTGACACAGAGAGAGAGAGAATCGACTGGGAAGCTTAGGTCCGCAGACCGTTAAACAGGACTTCAGTTTAAATCTTAGAACTTTGTCTTTTGTGTTAAAACTTGTCAATGAGTCTGAAAATTTATGTTCAGTATTTTTTTTTTCTCAAATAATTTTGAAATTTAGAAATGAGGTTTTGTTTGATGAAGACAGGTTATTTTGTTATGCAGGCCAATGAGCTGTAAACTGAGTAATTATACAGAGAATAAAAATTACCTGAACAGTATTAGACAATTATATTTTTTCTTGTCCATATATTGATCTTTGTTTTAATTATTATATTGGGACAAAAAATGAGGTTTTCAATGCTTTCTGCAGTCCAGTACTAGATTTTTACCCCTTGCAGTAAATAAAACAATTTAAATTTTTGGAATTTTTGTTCTTACTATCAGAGAGAACAAAGCTAACTAAGATGTTACTGCTGTAGGTTTAAGCTTGTTGTGGGGTTGTAAGTACTTTTCTTGACTGTGAATTGAACAGCATGTCTGATTTTTCTACTAACACATTCCTCACAAATTTTTGTAAACAGTGAGAATTTTATTGCATGATGTTAAAAAACAGTTCAATTTGAAAAAGAATTCACCAAATTTTAAATAAAGTTTTACACCCCGAATTCTCCACGTTCACTCGAATCCTACCTTCAGTCCTCACAGTTCCTCCAAACAAGTTCCACAGTTATTTAATATTTCCGCAATTTCCCCTTTTTCTTGATATTTATTTTAAAAACCCAGTACACCAAACTGCCATTTTCTCTTTGCACAGATTTTTAAATCTTTCTCTTTATTTTTTGGTAAATTATGATATGTTAAGAGTTTATCAATTGAGCAATTTTACAAGTAAGTGATTTTTATATAGAAGTTAATAAAATTTAAAATTTGTTTACAATTCTTGTATTCAAATAGTAAATCAGAAAATTTCTTATGTTAATATAGCTCTTATAAAAACAGTATTAATCTATGATCTATGCATGAAAGGACAAATTCAACTTTCTGGTGTGTAATCAAGTATAAATAGTACTGAGCAATGAAATAAAGAAATACTTGTATGCTGCATGTGTCTAATGACCAGCTTCGCCTCAATAAATATTAACTCATGGGATGTACTATATTTTACTAAATTTACTATTACAGAGATTGTACATGTATTTACAAATTGAACAATATGTATTATTACTTTGAAAGATCTGTTCATTTTTATTTTTCCTTTATTTAAAATTTGTTTTCTTTAGCAACTGAATCTTAATATAACATTATAAGTACCTAAATATTAGAAAGATTTCTAAGCCCTGCTCACTGAAACAATGAGCATTTTGTAGTGCCCCCTGTTTTGTGGTTGTACAGAGTTATCTGACATTGATTTACTGTGTATATAGATTGTCATCAGTTCCTTTGTGGCGGTTATTCTGGATAACCTGGAGTTGGACGAAGACATCAAAAAACTCAAACAGGTCAGTACCACTTGTACATTACTGTAAAAAAGAAATCATCAGAGTAAAAAGTGTCTCGCAAAAAAATTCAGTATAAAACAAAATAATGTATGAGGTATTCCAAGCACCATAATTTACAATTTTCATTGATAATAAAGGAGTATATATGATAACAGCCAATTTTGGCCCCCTAAAATCAACATTTTAGAATGACATTCAGATATGTTTAATTGATATTTGTTTTGTAGAGGAGATTATATTAGATATATTTCCAATATATTTTTCACATTTATATGCACTCACTAGCTGTAAATGACATGAGAAATAATGCTATTTTTGCTATCTAACAAAAAAGCCAAAAATATGCCTTTTTCTTGATGTTTTTTCTTATGGGAAACATAGAGCGCAGTGTAGATCATACATATATTTTTTTTGTCACTAATCAGTATTGGATAGATACATCTTTGGTAAAAATATAAATCTTGTTCTAGGCTGCGCTCTATATTTTCTGAAAGAAAAACTGCTTGAAAATAAGCAGTTTTATACAAAATATGCTAAAATGGTGGGAAAACGTGATTTTTATGATGTAATATTTCTAAAATAACGGCATTTTGATCAAAATGAAAACGACCAATAAAGGTCGCAGATATAGCTGTACAAATTAAAGCTATATACAAAGTAAAGTTAAGATATCCATTTTAAGGGGCCAATTGAGACACCTACCATATATCGCTCTTTGAGTTGCATGCATTGGCAAAGTTTATTGTTGCCAAGGTCAATGCTGACAAGGCTGAAAGAAGCCATTATAAGGTGACCATTTAATAAAAATCCTCATTACTGTAGATCACTTAATTTTCGCGACACCTTATTTTCGCGAGATAGTCATTGACCCCTGATTAGCGAGACAAAATTTTCGCGAATTGTGGTTATTGCTCTATATAATCTTAAGGAATACTATTATACACGAGAATTAAATTTTCGTGAGCACACTATCTCGCGTAATTACGCGAAAATAAAGTTCTCGCGAATAAAAAGTGATTTACAGTATATGGTATTAAACATTACCTCAGAGAAGTTTCTGATTTTGATTACTTTGAATTCACAGGCAGTAATATTTGTATTGTATTTATATATTGTAGTTGAAGGCCAGGGAACAGGTGACTGAAAGCCAACAAAAACTCCCCATGCGGCTTCGAGTGTTTACCAAATTCCCGTATGGTTTGAATTTGTACTATGGATATCATTTCTCAATTTTTGAGTCCCTGTACTTTTGTTTTCAATTTAACATATTTCTTTTTACTTCTGTAATTTTTGTTTTTATTTGATAACTATATGATAATTATGACTGTGAACAGGAGAGTTGTTTTTGTAGGAACCACCCCCAGATGGTATACCTGTATAAGATCCCGGGAGACTTCAGCCTTTCTCAGATCAGGGAGAGCGTCATGAGACAGTTCTCTACTCCAGAGGTCAATCTCACCGTGGACATACAGGAGATGAATGAAGAAAGCACCACACTGGTCAAATTCTCCCCGGTCAAGCTGGTCAGACAGGATGTGAGCGGATCTAAAAGTGGTGGAGCTATGGAGAAGAGGAGCGGAATCACACTCATTGTGAGGTAGTAGATAGTCAACATTTATTTCTTTCTAGAAAGTGAAAATTTTGTAGCAAAGAGATATTAAAGACTAGAAGGTTATAAACACAGTTTGTTTTTTTTTAATTTTTAGAATAAAAGCATCTTAACATATAATTTATCCTCTTAGTAAAAAACTATGAAACAGAGTTAATTTGTTAGAAGACTCAAAGACACATTTCCAGAACATTGCATCTTCATTCTTTTTCAATTTTTGGTGACACCTTGAAAAGTTGTATAGCCTTAAGCATTTTACTGATACTGATATCATTGTACAGGGACTCAGCTCAGCAGAAGATGCAGGTGTGTGGGTCTACTCAGCTTGTTCCCAGTGGCCCCAAGTCCCTGTTATCTCAGCAGTACCAACTCAGGATGGACAGAAGGTTAGAAAGTCTTTACTGGCCAAGGTTATCTCTTCTTAAATAATAAGGCATATTTTTATTCAGTTCCCAAAAGTGTGATCACTGGGCATAAACAGAAAATATATACAAAATTATGTTTAAAATATTCTGTAACATTTCCAGAAGCATGAGAGGTTCTCGACCTGGAAGTCTGAAAACCAGAAGTACTGCCAAGGAGAATGGTGACATCCACCTCGGAAAGATCAACAGCTCAATATTAAACCGGACAAGGACACCTGACGACTACGACATAAAAGTCTGGCAACAGAGGAAACAGCAGGCAGAGATCAAGAGGTAATGGAGTAGGCCTATAGCTTGTTTTCTGACATACCATGTTTTGCATCAGTGCTTAGTTTATATAAATGGTATATTTGAATTCATTCACATGTACTTATTCTTACGCTTGTTACCCATACAATATGTAAACATTATGCATTACAAATGGCATTTCATCAATACAAACAATTTTTTTAGAAATGATACATTGATACAATTATGATCAGTTCCTTAACTTTTGTTTTATTGGTTTCCAGGAGCCAGCAGGAGGAAGACCTGAGAGAGAACCACCCCCTGTTTGACACGCCCCTTTTTACCGTGGGACGGGAATCACAGTTCCGTAAGGCCTGTCAGATGATTGTCAATGCTCAGTATAACCACACACTGAGAGACCCCATCACAGGGAAGGAGCTTAATAGCAAATATAAACGCTTACAGTAAGTCATATTGAGGCAGATAAAATTAGAAATTTTTAGGGGAATTGAGTAAGTTACCTGATACCATTACACATTTCTACAGGAATAGAGTAAGTCACATGGAAACTGATACTATAAGTCACTTCTAGGTGATACAGTAATTAAACTCTGGTACGGAAAATCATTCACTTGTAGGCTAAAACAGTAAGTCATTCACCTTTAAGGATCAATTAGTATCTCAGAAAGTATACCTTTATACTGAAAAAATGTCAAAGACAACTCTTCAGTAAATATTATATATCTAAAGGAATTTTGTCTATAACCTGTATTTCTAGGTTGGATTTAGTGAGTCACTTCTAGGCTGTTAAGTAAGTCATTTATATGCTGAATACAAGAGAAGAATAATGAACACACCAGAACTTCAGGTTATTATCAGAGATATGAATGTTAACTTTTTCTCGAAAATTAAATATACCGTATTGTACATAAACAAATATAAAACTCATCAATAAGTTTTATTTTTTGTTTCAAATTCAGCATAATAATGTCATAAATAGGTTTTTGCATATAGATCCTCATTTTGACTGCTATAACCTGTATTATCTACATGTAACTAAGCAAATTTACTCTTGATTTCTTGAACTCTTGACCTACCTGGACTGGGCAGTCCCGATGATCTATGGAAATTTACCTTTGATACTTGGCTATGTTGTACACAAAGTTACACAATTAGCAACTTTACCTGGACATTTAATGGCCCCAAGAGAAGAATAATGATGTTTATTCAGGTGACACATAACTTAAGGTTATTGATTTAGAAATATGTTGCCTATATGTATTAAAATTTTTCGACTGTATTACGGTAATTTAATATACATGTACCATATTGTAATTGCATTAAACAAATATAAATTTAATTTTTATTTCAATAAGTTTCAAAGTTTTGAAAATATCAAATTCAGCAGCCTAATGTCAATATGTATTTTTGTATAAAAGTCAAATTTCTTCTGCATATGTTTGGAAAAGTAAACTATGAAGATTAAAAGTGTGCATATAACGTTAAATTATAAAAATTGCTGATGATGTGTTTTGTAATCTGATAATAAATATTCAGATGGGTCTACGAAAATATATAATTGCTTTATAAAAACCACGTGTAAAAAGTTAGCACTGTATGAAAATCATTACATCCGGTAAGACTAATGTAGTCAAGGACTTTGGAGGAATGCTCAATCTATTTATTTATGCGGTAGGTGACTGCCTGATTTGACTGTTCTGTACATTTAAGCATTGAATTCATATTTTGGGATGTCTTCGGTCCTATAACACACCTGGCCGTGTCGGCAAATTGAATACCGCGCTGTGATAATTTCACGTGTCTTATAGAGATTTGAATGTCGTGGATTTCTAATGGATTTCTTGAAGAAAATTACACTGAATGTAAATATTATGATTTATTTGAAATTTTTGTGTGCTTGTGTATCATGTCAGGCACAAATCACTTTGTCCAGTGTTTTTTCAGCTGTCTTGGGGGTTCACTTTTATAAAGTTTTTTAGAACTTTCATAATATGAATCATATCAGCATGAAACCTTCATGATAAAGTTATACATCTTAGTAAAACACAAAGTCATACTGAATTGTGTCCTACATCCTCAGGCCTTTGGCAATCAGGTAGCTGGTTGTTCTGATGTATTTGTATCATTTTCAGGTGAGTGTGATATTTCTGTGCTGGATGCCACAGGAAGTGAGGCGTGACTCCCCTGCCCAGGTGTTCATGTTACTGCGGTGTCTGCGGCCCCTCAGGATCTTTGTTCTGGTCCCTCACATGAGGAAGGTGGTGTACGAACTCATCAGGGGATTCAAAGAAATCATATTGGTAAATCACACACCTTAAAATATGGTGCAGAATCTTCTTCCTTGGCTCATTCTTTTACCCAGTTCAGGCTCTTTGATGATTGAGTGCTGACATGTGACTTTGAATGTTGCAGGTCTCTGTTCTGCTTGTGGTGCTCATGTTCATGTTCGCCATTTATGGAGTTCATGTTCTGGGAGGAAAACTTCATAAATGTAATGATCCCAACATCACCACCAAGGTCAGAAATTCTCAGTTATTTTTACAGGAATTAAAAGTTATTCCCTTAATAGGAATTGTAATGCGATATAATTTATAGATAGATATAGTACTTGTATATTCATTTAGTAACACAGGCATAAAATTCTTGATATTTGTAGGAGGAATGCAAAGGTAGATTTTTCCAGAAAGTTTTTGTGACACAAATGAAGATTCCTAATGGTACAGAGAGTGAGGCGGGATTCTATGTTCCTAGAACTTGGTGTGTAGCATAATGCATGTGTAGCACCTAGAATTAGTCATTTAAAGGATCTTTTCCTGTTTGTATTTTACAGTCTCACATAGATTAGGTTTTAGATGAAGATTCTATTTTAGGTCCAATCCCTATAACTTTAACTTTGATAACATTGGGAGTGCCATGTTAGCTTTGTTTGAAGTGTTATCATTGGAGGGCTGGCTGGAGGTCAGAGATGTCATCATAGAGAGAGTGGGTCTGGTAAGTCGCCAAGTAGAGAGATCTTCCATTAAAGTAAATTAAACAAAACTTGACGTGGAACTGAACAAAATTTGACAGTTTTCATTATATTTTCAAGATCATAAAACTAAGCCTCCATAAGAAATGAAATTTTGCTTTACATCAAATTATGTTCACTGTAATATTTTCAGGAACATGCCATATATGTCCATGTTTTTGTCTTCATGGGTTACATGATAGGCCTGACTTTATTTGTGGGTGTGGTCATTGCTAACTATAGTGAAAACAAGGTATAGTCACATGTTATTTATTTACATATATTTTTATATGTAATTAAATTAATAGCAAAATAATTCCCTATTCTGTATTCCATTTGATCGACAGGGAACAGCATTGCTGACTGTGGATCAAAGAAGATGGCTGGATTTGAAAGGAAGAATTAAACTGGCTCAGCCATTACACATACCACCTAGACCTGGTAAGGCTGATAAATATAATTTTATGGTGTCATTAATAGAATGCAAAATCACAATCACATTATGATAAATTTAATAATTCTGCATGAATTTAGCAATACAAAACATTTTTGGCACATCTTTGATATTACAGATGGAACAAGTTTTCGAGCTAAGATGTATGACATCACGCAGCACAAGAAATTTAAAGCAGCGACTGTGTTCCTGATTCTGGTCAACTGTGGGCTGCTGGGAGTTCCTGTAAGTATTTATAGGGTCTTCTAGATTTGTTATAAGGCTGTCTGGGTACCATGAAAATCATTTTACTTAATGTCTATTATTTTTTTGAAAATTTTTGGTAGTTGATAAAAACATTACTTTGGTTATTATTATTATTTTAATGATCAATTTACAGGTTCTCTATTAGTAATCACGAGTTCTGTCGGTTAACAATTTAAAATAATCTAACACAATATAAACTTGACTAGTACCTTTTCACTTTCCGACTTGCTATTTACAGCATAATTTGGGAAAGTTAGAGGAAGACATCATTTATGTGTTCCAGTTAACCCATTACTTGAATTTTTAAATGACTGTCTTTTAATTGGCCATGAAATTGCATGGACTTTCTTATCAATTAACCTGCTTTTCAATACATTATATAAGTACAGTATTACACACTGTTAAGCTTAGGACTGTGGAACTTTAATTGACAGTTGATGCATCTTTAGGGAAAGTGTGTAGGAAGCCAAAATAGTTTAGTTTCACTTAACTTTGGGATTATATGGCTTTGTGTACATGAAAGTGAACTTCCATCATTATTTGACTGTATCAATATACAGTATACAATATACATTTTGTGTTGTGTTATAGTGGAAATCTTCCAATGCCAGACAGACGTTTATCTTAGGCTCACTGTCGGCTGTGTGTACTCTTCTCTTTCTCTGTGAGGTAAGGATGGAATGCTTAGAAAAGAGAGAGGTTCGTGATTGTTGTGGCATAGAAAATATTCAGTTCAACATTTGTATGTCAAAGTGAGTCAGAAGTTTCCAATCACTTCTTTTAAATATGTTTTACCATAATATCTTAGCCCATGGATGTCTCAAGTTTTCTGGGTGCCATTAAATTCATGATAATGAGATTTGACTGTAAATACAAGCACTCAACACTTGATCTCAAATTGAGTCTTAATATTTTGTTAATTCAGTATGTCTGTAACTTTATCTGATGTCATGCACTGTTTTGATCAGGTGATTATAAAGATGATAGCCTTGACCCCTAAGGGTTACTGGACCAGTAGGAGGAACCGATTTGACATGCTGCTGACCTTTCTAGGGGTCATCTGGATCATACTGCACTTCACATTTAATCTTACTGGGCAGGAGGTGAGATCAAAATGACTACTTCTGGTACAGTCTAAACAGTTGACCAATTACTGTTTGCTTATTTGTTTAACTGGAATTCATATTTTTTATGTACAGGTTTTAATTTAAAGTAATTACTAGGCCGAACAAGTAGCTTTTATACTCTGTAATTGTGACATACATGTTCAAGTGTATAAATACTGTGATTATTCTTTTTGCACCAAGCAATGCATTTTATAGCTAGGTCAAATATTTGTTCCATTTATGAAATTTTGCTATCTGAAATTAGGAATAAGGAGAAACTTTTATTATCTTTTTATGTATATTAAACTTGTTGACATTGTAGATGATTTACTTTCAGGGTGATGCTAATAATGTTTTTGGAGTCATCATTATTGTTTTGAGATTTTGCACAATTTGTGGAAAACATGTAAGTAACCGATTTATATATATTGGTTGTAAAATTGAGATCTATAATAGGTTATTATATTTACATTATTTTTAGAATATAATTTATAGCTTGCAAAATTGAAATACTAATTAGGGCCCCGCAAGGACTTGCGGGTGCCCTATAGTAATCAGTCTGTCCGTCCGTCTGTCTAGCTGTCCGTCTGTCACTCTTCCGTCCACAAATTTTCTGTTTTTTTCTAATTACTTTTTTTAAGGTTGCCCAATCAGGTTCAAATTTGGTATGGTAGTTCAGTAGGCAGAAATACATATTTTGATGCTAAGTTTGGTTCTCTATGTCTTCTGGTTTGGAGCTGGGGTGGTGGGGTAGATTCCTTAACTATGCATAAGAATGAATGGGCAAAGAGAGATAACTGCTGAGAATGTTACCTTTGTAAACAGGGAAGGCTGTGCAATTTGTCCTTTGGGATTAATTAACATCCACATGAAGAAAATCCTAAGCATTTTCTGTAAATGTCACATTGAGATTAATTACTGTACCAGCCTCTGTCTGCAATGAACTTTGTTTTGAAGTTTAGGTCAATTTTGAATGATGTGTACATTCTTTGAAATATGGATTTAAAGTAATGTTCATACTTTATATTGGTTAAAATACTGTACACAACGATTTAACATAATTTTATTGAATTCTAAAATCAAGATATATATTAAGATATCCTTTTTTATTATTACTATTTTATTTTTTAATTATTTATTTAATTTAATTTTTTTTGCTGCCTTAATGTTGTTAAGTTTAACAGGTAATCAGATAATAACCCCATTCTGTCAGTGCTAAAATAAGTTCTTATTGTAAATTTATATAGAAGAAAAGGATGGGAGAGCACCAAAGTTTTACAATTAATATATAGGATTAATTCTTTTAAAATCTTGCTGCAGAAAATTTAGAGGCTTATCTTTATCTGTCACATGAAGATTAATGAACACCTTTGTCTGCAACTGATGTTTGTTTTGAAGTTGAGGTCAACCCTGGGTGATATTAGCATTCACTGAAGGCTTGCATTTTATAAAACACCTGCTTAATTCTTTTTTAAATACACATTAAATTTAGGTGTTTTTTTAATAAGACATGAGGTTTTCCCTGTTTTATGTAAATACAAGGTTACTATTTACAGGTTTTTGGACATTTAGGAATTATCTTGAAATTTTAAAAATACAGTTGTTACTTATAATCTTCATATATTAAAAAAAATGTAATCAAGTAAAACTCTCATTCAATGAGCTGCACCATTATATTTCTACCCCTTCAGCGGGGCCCTTGCTGACTGGTCAGTTTTCTAGTTAAAACGAAGCCTATTATATACATAAAGCAATGACTGCAAGAAGCTAAAGTGCAGCTCAATCTTATAGAATGTAAACTCGAAAAACCTGATTTTCATCAAACATGAATCTAAATCATTTCATTTTTAGGGAAAAAAGTCTGCTACTCGTGCATGTATTTGTCATTTGAATTCTAAGAACTTAAGAGTCTAAGTCTGTCTGTGTGTTTGTCTGTACTAGGCGGCCCTGAAGATGTTGACCCAGACTGTGGTGATGTCGGTGCTGAAGAGTTTTTTCATCATCACGGGAATGTTTCTCCTGATTCTGTTCTACGCTTACCTTGGCGTCATTCTGTTTGGGACGGTCAAACATGGCTATAACCTAGGAAGGTCAGTGTAATTTTGATTTTAGTTAAGATCACTCTGATCTTGATAATGCATGCTACAAACTGAGATTGTGTACTGTGAAAATATGAGCATGTTTACCTGGAAAGATGTTTAATTCCAGACAAGCTAATTTCCAGACCACCCCAATGGCTATAGCTCTGCTGTTCCGAATAGTAACTGGAGAAGATTGGAATAAAATCATGCATGACTGTATGGTATGTAACGTGACTTTATATCATTTGGGTAATTTAACCATCTATTTTACTGGGACAGTTGTGAAGCATTTAGTTGACATTTATTTCCATGTATCTAAATCCTCAATTTTAAGCCAATACGTTTGCAGAATAATGTGTTTGTTGTAATTTTTCCATCTTTTGTCGTGTATCGGAAAAACCTCTTTGATTTTCCCCTTTGAAAATGTTGAAAGTGCTTAATTGTACTTGTATTTTCACAAATATAAACCACAGAATCATTCACAGAGGGTCAAGTTATTAGCTCTCAGTATTACGTACCTGTAGGTGGCGCCTCCTTTCTGTACAAATGTCGGCAACATCTGGGAGTCAGACTGTGGTAATGGGACCGCCTCCATTGTGTATTTCTTCTCCTTCTATATCATCATCACCTACATTGTCCTCAATCTACTGGTGGGTGAGTACTTTTATGCTCTGTCTATTGGTGTGTAAGTACCTTTGTACATGTACAAGCCCTCCCTGTGCCTTTTTTGCCAACTGCAAAGGGAAAGAGCACTGTTTGTGGCATTTAAAAGTGTCATATGGAAAGAGAAGCTGCCCTTCCTCATTTTTGTGCAGATGGTAAAAAAGAAATTTTATTTTAAGAATTTTTGGCTTTTTACAAAGATTTTGTTGAATATTTCAGCTATCATCATGGAGAATTTTTCTCTGTTCTACTCCAATGAGGAGGATGCTCTGCTGAACTATAATGACATCAGGAACTTCCAAAACACATGGAACATTGTGGACGTCAACAGGAAGGTAAGTAAATACAGACATCAGGGAGGATTCGGTGTTATAGAAATGAAGTTGTACATGTAAATGTATGTTTGGAACTACATGTACTTACAGTTTAAAATAGCTTTAAATTTAACAAATTTTTAATGTACGTCAACAAACACAAACTGAGATTGAATACAAATTCCAAGATATGATGCATTAATAATATTTATGCTTCTAAACATTGATATCTATTGATATTATTGCTGTTCTTTTTTGTCATCTGTCCTGTTTATATTTCAGGGATCTATTCCTGTGCGTCGAGTGAAGTTCCTCCTGAGACTGCTCAAAGGTCGTCTAGAGGTCGACTTGGAGAAGGAACGCCTGGTCTTCAAACACATGTGTTATGAGATGGAGAGGCTACATGGCGGAATGGACGTGTCATTTCATGATGTCATCAGGTCTGCAGCCAGTTGTAATACAACTGAATAGAGTAGATCTTTACTCTGTCCCTGCTATTTAAAAAGGAAGAGAGGCTCAAGAGTTACCTTTTTAGTCTTTAGCCTTGGCCTTGAGTTGCCATTTAAGTGCATGAGTGTTTCACAAAAACATTTTCTTTTTTGCTTTGGTTCATTTTTTTGTTTTTATAATTAATAATAGATAATTATCAACATCTGTACTTTCTGATTTAAAGAGTGTCCTTTAAGATTTATTGACAGGGTATAAGTTTTGGTCTAATTGGCCTGAATTTCTTTGCAGCATGTTGTCGTACCGGTCGGTGGACATCTGTAAGAGTCTGCAGTTAGAGGAGTTACTTGCCAGACAGGAGCTGGAGTACACGATCGAGGAGGAGGTGGCTAAACAGACCATACGCAACTGGCTCGACTCGTGTCTCAAGAGGATCCGAGCCGTGAGTATAAACTCAGCAATATCTCACTCAATAAGCTTATAAGGAGAGGGCCCTCTATTAAAATCACATCAGTTGGAAGAATATTGCTATTTTCATGTGAACTTCATTCAAAACTACTGTCAATTTCTCAAATGTACAAACAAACTTTAATTCCCATGCGAGAAAATTTCGCAAGTTCCGCGACCAACTTTTATTTGCTAATATTAATCACTGCGAACCAATAATTTTGATATGCATTAGTAGAGAATGTTTCCTCGGTCATGAAAATTAAGTGTCGTGGATTGATTTCAAACTGACTAATCCCAAATAAAAAATTACGCGAATAATAGTTGGTTTACAGTAACTGTTACACATAATGAAAGCTAGAGCAAGATCAGTTCATAAAGTAGAATATAAGCAACTTTGTTTTAGGTTCCCATTTGTTTGATCATGACTGATCTTTTTGTTGTTTACTATTATGAAAATAAGATGTTAGTAAGAACCAGGGGGATTTATACAAGATCAAGGTTTTTAAGTGAAAAATATTAAAGTTAAGCAGGGCTTTTCATTTTGTGAGCAAGTTGTTGAGTCCAGATTAGGCCATTAAAGTTATTTTTAGATTCTTGTTGCCAAAAAAATTAGTAAAAACTTTTACGAAACTAGTAACTGAGTGTATTTTGATATATATATATGTATATATATATATTTTTTTTTTCCAATTTGTATATGTTTAATTGTATCCTGTTAAATTTTGTCAAGTTTATTTTTATTTCTGGTTTCGTTGTTGTTTAAAAGGTCAGCTGATTTCTATTTTGGCTGTGAAAGCATGGTCATATAAAAATTATATATTTGGTAGCATGTTGTCTATTGTTTTCTATTGTAATCTTTACCAAACTAAAGATAAAGTGATGGAGGATTAAAATTTGTGCCTGTGAAATTTTTCATGAATTTTATTTTAAACATTTATTCAATTGATGAATGCATAAACTATATACATATGATATAATCTATGATTTATTTATTCTTTGGTTGTTATATCTAATTAAACTGGTTTTGGAGCCACTGGTTCATAGTAAGTTATATCTGCTTTGTTTGTTGAGGTATATGTGTTCTTCATTTGACAGAAACTCCCACCACAGCAGGTAAAACCTAGGTTATACTGCATGTAGACAGGCCTCTAAGTGTGTAACAAATTACCTCTGTCCTAGATATAGAAAGCACAGTCATATGTTAGGGTAATTTGTAGGTCTGATAGGTAATCGGTAAAGTTGTAACTTGTCCTAGAAATAGAAAGCACATTCATCTGGTAGGGTAATTAGTAGGTCTTATAGGTAAAATAGTAACAAATTACCTCTGTCCTAGAATTAGAAAGCACATTCATCTGTTAGGGTAATTAGTAGGTCTGATAGGTAAAGTTGTTACTGATAACCTCTGTCCTAGAATTAGAAAGCACATTCATCTGTTAGGGTAATTTGTAGATCTTACAGGTAAAAAAGTAACAAATTACCTCTGTCCTAGAATTAGAAAGCACAGTCACCTGTTAGGGTATATTTGTAAAGGAACCTCAATTCTAGAGCTAGAGAGCAGTCACCTGTTTAGGTAATCAGTAGGTCTTTATAAGAGAACCTCCTAGAAAACAGAGTACTTTAGGGCACCCTGTAGGACTAATTTAGCTATGTATATGTGTAACAACCTCTATCCTAGAAGTTACACCTGTAGTAGCACCTTCTATTAAGGTTCCTGATAGTCCAGTAGGTACACTGAACAAAGTTAATACAGAGCTCTGAACCAGATAAAGAACCCAATATATTAAAACATAGGAGGGCTGATATGTAAATTTGCCACAGAGCCTCTGTCTTATACCCCATTCATACGACGAAAATTTGCTTATGTGTGCAAATTTACATATGAGTAAATATACACACGTGAGTAAAAGTTAATTTGCTATGCGTTCAGACGAGATTTATGTACTATAAGTAAATCCTTATATTTTCATATAAAATGAGGAGATCCACAGATTCAGAATTGTGGATTATTTTTCAGAAAAAGGTTATTTTCTTACTACTTGGGTATAAGACTAACTTTCAAATGTTAATTCCTCAAGAAGAAAAGAAAGGGGAAATCCGATCCATTTATTTTTTGTTAACAGAAAAAAGCGAACTTAATAACTTTTAGGAAAAAATTACACACGAATAAAAGAAAATTTTAAAATCATTGTTTAAAACTGGAAAATGCTTTGGCATCGGTCAAAAAGACTTAAGAAGAGCCGTTAGGTGTTCATAAAAAGATGGCTGTTGCCATCTACTGAATGGCATCTTCAGCAAAATACATGTAAAGTACGACTGGAAATCCTTTTGGTGTTTGGAAATGTAGCGATTTGTCCTTAAACACCAAAAGGATTTCCAGTTTAATTTTTAGGTCATTATGAAGTTTCTGATTTTATATGTATTTTCCTGGAGAATGAAATGAGCAGTCATTTAAAAAAAATCAAACAAAACAAATATATGAATAGGAAATAAACACGCATCCCCTAGAAATTCATGGTGGGATCAGGTGCGATATTAAATTTTAAAATGCTTATTTTCAACAGGGTTGTTGAAATTCCTGTAGCATCAATTTATATGTCTGTAGCTTGCCTTGGTTTTTTAAAACAAAGAAAGGTAGAAGAAAGTCAATCTGCAATGGGGCCCGGGCGATTGATGTAATGCCTATTCCTATCACAGCTCTGGAGCATTCCCATGAACTACTTGAATTGTAAGGGAACCACTTATTGATCTTGCAGGGCACATGTTTGCGTGACCACAGCTATATTTTCATAATTTACAGGCATAAACATACATGTAGGTTTGCCAGAAAGGGTGCAAGATGCGCACATTTTTGCAAATTCAAATTTATCTCAGAGGACACTGAAGATATAGTTGGTCGACCCTTGTTTTCAGAGTTGAAAAAGTCATTTCTGGAAAGAACTATGCTAGAACAATCCGGCGTATCCTTTAAAGACTTTAAAGCAGTACCCTTATCAAAACTCAAATTACTTTCAACTGTCCTTGAAGTACAGCTAAGATGACAAAAAAAAAAAGAAAAGAAAAGTTTTTTTCGTTTTGATTTCTAGCCGCAATACTAACAGACTGATATTATACACACAACAATGCAAAAACAACCAAAACAACACTTAAAATGAAGATTTATGCAATAAACAAAACAATTTACATGCATAAGTAAATTTGCTGCGTGTTCATACAACAAAATTTACACACAAGAACTAATAATTTGCGACAACATGTATGCAAAAGTTAATTTGCACCTATAGTCCTGACCAGGTGTAAATTTACTCAACTGTGCAGAATTTACATGTGAGCAAATCAGTTCAAAAATTGCACATGTGTAAATTTACATATGAGTAAAATATACTGAGGTGTGCAAATCATGTCGTATGAATGGGGTATTAGAAAGCTACACCTATATACTGTAAGTAAGAACTGATATTAAAAAAAAGTCCTGCATAGGGTACCAAACAGGCTGATATGCAACATGAAATAATATTTTATATATTATATGACACCGGTACATTCCTCTAGAAGGTAACAGGAGGACTGATATGTTATGAATGCAGAGTATTACATGCAAAAAGCCAGATCATATTTCATATCAGCTAAAGTGGCCACATATAAGCAGGTGCCAGAAAATAATTAAAGGGATTTAGAGCTCGTTAATAAGCTTTTAACCTCCAAGTTTGCCATGATGTAGACTGTGAAATTAACATGTCCAGACAACAATTAAAATGTAAATGTATACATGTATATGGTCAGAATAACGTGTCTGCAAAGATTTCAAAATTGTATTTATACTGCAATATTAAAGCTTATTAAAAAGATTGACTACATCCCTGCTGTAACAATGAAGGCTTATTGCTCTTGCTGACTGATCTTTCTGCCTTGTTATTTCTTACAGCTCTACTTGCTGCTTTCACTCTTGTCTTTAAAACTCAGGTTTGGAGTGACTATCTTGTTATATTGTTTTGATTTTCTGAACAATGTCCATTTTTTAGACTAAGTGGACTGTAAACAATGATAAAGATTTTTTTAAAAATAATACTGTAACTTGCTTCTCAGTCTTGTATTTATAAATAATTTCATAAAATATTGAGATATTTAACTAATTATGTGTATTTTCATTATAAAACAGTCATATTGTTGATACAGCAGATGTATTGTAACAATTAAAAAGAAATGAGGGACTGTGCATGCCTCAAAGAAGGCTATGAATTTATATATATATTAATGGAATGTTGTCTTAATATGTTATGTTACGTATATTTTATATGCTTTTAATTATTTATTTTTAAGAATATGACATGCAGATATATAATTTAATTGTATGTATATGTAGTTGTGTTTCATTCTTACAAATTACCAGGTACATTCATGCATTGATTGTCAATATTTTTTCCTATAAACAGAAGGAGCACACAAATCTGATCTCGAATCTGCGGGCGACCAATGAACAGCCGCTGTTTACCCTGACAGAGCAACCGTCCAGTGCTGCAGAGAGCAGCGAGGAAAATCGTAATGAGAGTCCAGTGGTACGAACCAGGAAGAAGGGGATGGTAGAGCTTCAGCCCCCCAATATCCTGGTACAACCTCCACCCCCTCCAACACAGGTACAAGCCTTATATACAAATACAGCCCCCAATATACTGGTACAACCTTCAATCCCTCCAACACAGGTACAATCCATTTATAGTTATATACCAATACAGCCCCCAATATCCTAGTACATCCTCCATCCCCTCCAACTCAGGTACAAACCATATATACCAATACAGCCTTCAATATCCTGGTACAACCTCCACCCCCTCCAACTCAGGTACAAACCATATATACCAATACAGCTCCCAATATCCTGGTACAGCCTTCACCCCCTCCAACTCAGGTACAAATCATATACCAATACAGTCCCCAATATCCTGGCATATCCTCCAATCTCTACAACACAGGTACAAATCATATATAGTTATATACCAATACAGCCCCCAATATCCTGGTACAACCTCCACCCCCTCCAACACAGGTACAAACCATATATACCAATACAGCCCCCAATATCCTGGTACAACCTCCACCCCCTCCAACTCAGGTACAAACCATATATACCAATACAGCCTTCAATATCCTGGTACAACCTCCACCCCCTTCCAACACAGGTACAAACCATGTATCCAGATCAATACATCCCCTGGTGCAATCTCCACCCACTTTCAGCTGAGGTTCAACTAATTTATCCAAACCATGCATTGAAACATTTTATCCAAACCATGCATTGAAACATTTTATCAAAGATCTAATATTAAAGTGTAACAAGCTTATTTGTTCCTTACTTTTTATAGTCACCAACATTGAGAACCTCTCCCAGGATTGAGAAGGAGAGACCCACACTGAAGAAACGGTCTGGAAGGCTTTCATCAGGTGAGCAATCAGGGAATCAGATATATCACTTTATCTGTGCAGGAGAATTTAATTCATTTCTAGTTTATGGGCAAACCAAAAAGACCTTATGAAGTTGTTAGCAGTCTCACCATCTGTTAAACTTCCTTTAAGCTGTTCATCTATCTAAATGTCTGACTGTTTACCTGTATGCATATTCAGTTACCAAATTGGTATTTAGATGCAACAGATGCTGAATGTTCATTAACTAGATATGCATCCAAAGCCCTTAGAGATTATATTAACATGTCAGTAACTCCTGGTACAAATCCAGTGTCAGTACAAATCATTAAATGACCTATGTTTGACTTTCAGGGAGTAATTTTAAGGGCCTGACGGTGAACCTGAGTCAGACGTCGGAGATTAAGGGTGAGACCCTGGCCGTGTCCCCACTACAGAAAACCTTCACAGAGAGTATACTGATCGGGGAGAACGTGTCCACCAACATACAGTCCTGGTGGGGGGATCAGTTCTCACAGGACACACAGGAAAAATGACCACTGGACAACAAACTGACCACTACTGACCAGTCACTGATTGATAAAGTGACCATTGTGTATTACACTGTGGATGGCATTGGGTGTGAAAGAAACTGTGTAAAACTGTATCATGTTTTGAATTCATTTTCAAAATGATTTACTAGACATCCATCTCTAGAACAGAGATGCACTGGTGGCTTATCCATTATTATGAAGAAGATTGGATAATTTGGGTAGGGGGTGTAAAGAGGGAAATTTTTTAACAATTTTGAATTTACTGTAAATATATTTTTCATTTGGTCATAATTCTACAGAGTCATTGTTTCTTTCCAATGTGTAGGAACTCTGAATTTCTTGGATTTCTATTGCTACTGAATATGACTTAAATGCAATTTTAAGTATGTTGAGACAAATCTTTGACCTAGTACATAGTGTAAATAATCTGTATTGATATAAATTCAGCTGTTGTATGGGATGACATATTTTCGTATCATATGTAAATGTAAAACAATACAAGGATTTGTGAGTACAATGTGAGTAGGATTCAACATATGGCAGTGTTGTTCTGTGCTTGACCTCTTCACTTGTTACAAGTGTGAAATCAATGTGCAATAGAGGTATATGAAAGACTCTACAATTTAAATTTGTTGTGTATGTGTTCTGAACATACTAATACAAACTTGCCAAACTATAGTGCAATAGAGATGAGTGCAATATCATTATTTTACAGTAATTTTTAAAGATATTTTTAATAATGATAATCAAAATATATGTTGCATTTGCCTAGCAATACAATACAAATTAACTTCTGTTGGCTGTAGGTTAAAAATTCGCCAGTATGATGTTTTCTTCATTTTTTTCCCTTGGCACACAATTCAGAGCAAGTAATAAAAAATCATCATATGAAGTCATTGTAACAACCTTTAATAAATATTCAAATTTGACTTATCTAGAGAATGAATATCTCCTATACAGAAAATGAACTGTATTCTGTCTCAGATCATAAATACTTGTGAATATTAATTATTAATTACATGGTATTTTTTAAACTGTGTATATGTATATTGATTTTGTCTTTGATCTCATTGTTAGTTGCTCTTATCTTGCCAAAAAGCTTTCCTTTGATGTAAGAAGTTAAAATTGTTGAAAGATTTTGAAATGAGTTTGTCAGTTTGAAACAAGTGTTGTATTTATAGATCATGTTTTCAATAAAAGTTGAGTTTTTCCAGATTTCTTACATTTTTTATTTGTGTTTGTTTCCTAAGCCTTAAGCCTATGATGTGGTCATTTGAATTGCTAGTACTGGCCTTCAGACAGGTGTGTGCTTTGATTTGTCTTCTGAAGTTCTAAAGTCAATGAATGTCATCAAGGTGTTACATATTTTACTTTTGACTACTCTCTAACAAAGAGGGAAAGAAGATTTTGCATTAAAAAATACTTTTGATTTTAAAAATTTCAAGGACAGACAATCATGCATCTGGATAAAGACATCACAACACAATCCTATATATTCTGGAATTATTGAGACTTGCTGACCTTAAAGTTATTCACAAGGACAAAAAATCCCATAAAAGCTACTACAAGTACATGTAGTGTCGTACAAGAGCATTGCAAAAAGCAATATATGTGGCAACGCGCTTTGAAAAAATTACGCTTTTTGAAAAAAAATTTCAAAGTGCGTTAAAATTGGGACAATCAACGCAAAGTGCTTTGTAAAAACATTTTTTTTAACGCAGTTTGAAAAAATATGTATAAAACAAAAAATTATATACTTATATTTTAGTAATTGAGAGAATCACAAATCCTCAAAACTTTTCATTTACATGTACTCACTTTGAAAAAAAAATTTCAAAGTGCATAGCCGTAATAGCAAATACATAAACATTTTTAATGCCTACATTAAGAATATCTTTGAAAAACATTTGTGTGCCTAACTCCCCTTCCCGCAGATTATGCTAAAAATATATGTATAAAACAAAAAATTATATACTTATATTTTACATAAAATTGAGAGAATAAAACAATTTTCAAAGTGTGGAATAATTATTTCATCCAGAAGTGACCTCATCGAAAAACTTTTATTTACATGTACTTTGCATTTAACCTCACATTTTTTCAAAGTGCGTTAATAGAGAAGACTTTGAAAAGAAATTTTATTTTTTCAAAGTCTTAATCAGTCCAACTCTTTTTTTCTTATACATGTATTGTACATAGTGCGTTGTAACAAAGATATTTCATAGATCTAAGGAATGACACTCATAAATGAGCTGCGTCAAGCGAAAAGGGGCCTTCGTGACATAAACATAATTATGTCACAAAAGCGCTTCAAAGACGTGATGCCTCGCATGTGCGTTTGCCGATAAAAAAAGTTTCATACGATAAAGCAATAAAAAAAAATGCGTAATACATATGTTCAAAAATAAACGCGTTATAACTGTCCGAAAAAAGTACAATGTCGTAAATTTAATGCAGGCATTGAGAAATCTCACAAGGGCAATCCAAGCATAGCACAGCTTCCTGTACATGTATTGCTTGATTCTACCCAGAGCCCATGCGGCCATGGAAAGACTACAAATGGCCGACCTTGGCAATGAAAGACTACAAATGGCTGATGTAGGCATTGAAAGAATCTACAAATGGCCGATGTAGGCATCGAAAGACTCTACAAATGACCGATGTAGGCATTGAAAGAATCTACAAATTGCCGATGTAGGCATTTAAAGACTCCACAAATGGCCGTGTAGGCATTGAAAGACACCTTAATGGTTCAATACAATCAATACAGGCAGTGCAGACATTTCTTCCATAAAATGCAATGCAGGCATTAAAACCCCTTAAAATGGCTAATGGAGGCATTAAAAGACTTTCCATAAAGCAAAATTTAAAATATATGCATTACTTCTCCTTCCAATATTTATAACTACATGTATGTGAGCTTTGTCAGACACGGACATTCGTTCCAGAAATAGAGAAAACTTTTAAATATTGTCAATCATTCTTTATGCTTTAAAATATATTCTTAGTACAGTAATACTGTTTTATATGAAGTTATATTAAAACATCAAAATTCTGTATATAATTTTCTGGCAAATTACAAAATATGGAAGTTATATTATAAATTGAATTCTTATATGCAGTGCAGCAGTTATGAAGGATAAAAAAATGAATCTTGGCTTTTAATGTATGTTTTATACTTAAGTATACGTGATCCCCAGCTGCCTAGAAGGATAACTCTTAAATTTATCATTTGATTCAAAAGTCTCAAAATGAAGTTTGAGGTTGAAATCTAATAATGCAACAATTTTCATCTTATGCATCTCAATCTGATTCAATGTTCTTTGAGGTCTTGGAAACAGTTCTACATGTGTATAGAGATGACATTTGCACTCCACAAAAGAAAATAAATTCATTTTCAGAGAAATTGAATTTCCTTTAATTCAACACTAGATATCATTCTTATCAGCAGTAAAGAAATCAGATGCGATATGTGTTAGCTTGCAAAGATAGCACAAGATTTTACACTGGGTATTTTATATTATTTGAAGTAAAGAAAACCAAAAAAATTGTACAAGCACGAAAAAGATGCAACTTTCTCCAAATCCCTGGATACCTATATTTTTATCCCAAAATATATATTTGTTGATCAATTTGGAATTGGAAACGGAATAGCTGGTTGTTTTACCCACTTTCATGATTATCTGTTATTAATAATGGTGTAGTATTATCGATAAATCTATGTTACTCTGTGAAATCAGTGACATTTTTGTCAGAATTTTCAATTATTGTAAAGGCTGATTTTAGAAACCTAAGGATCAGACTACTAGTACCTTAATAAAATAAAAAGATGCAAAAAATGAACACATAAGACAATTTTAAAAAAAGAGATATTTATTATAAAAACTAATCTTGAACAATCAGATTGCATTGGCGAAACATTTCATTTCTATTTTCAACTCGATCCAGTAGCTGATATTTTCCGTTTCTGGGCAGATTTCATGGCTTCAACTGGAAAAAAATTTAAGGTTAACTACTATAGTTACACAACAATGATGCAAATAAATCAAAAAACTGAATCATTTATATTTAATCACTGAAAAGATTGTATTTTTTGAATTAAAAAAAAAAATACTTTGTACAAATCAAAAATTATTAGAAACTCCACTTAGTGGAACATAAAACAGGAAAAGAGAAAATTAGAGACCAGAAAAGAAGGGCACAAAAGGAGAAAATATAAGACAGTGTAAGTAAACGGAAAAAGAGAAAAGAAGAGACAAAAGAAAAGAAAAGAGGAAAGGAAAAAAAGAGGCGGGAAAATAAGAACGGGAAAGGAGATAGGGATGGGAAAATGGAGTAGGAAAACAAAGGAGAAAATAACAGAGGAAAAAACAAGAGAGTCAAATTTATTGTACTTACCTGTCTACTTTTCCTCGGAAAATCACCTGAGACTGATTGTTAAAAGAAATTCTCATTAACCAATTCTTTATTGACTTCGACATTTTATTTCGTTTACACAAAAATTAAAATATCGAAACATTCTCAGGAAAAGCATAGCTAAATACAAAAGAAATATACTAGGAAAATTGTTCAGGGGACTATTAAAAGGGAAATAATACTTCATGTTAATGAAGAGGTAAACTTAGAGAACACAAAAGGACTAACGTCTCATATGGACATGAACTAACGTCCCATAGGAAAAGTATGTACAAGTTAATGCCCCATATACGAATAGTTTGTACAAGTTAGCGTCCCATAGGAATCGTATGTACTAAACTCTTTCTTCTTCCCAAGTCCACCGACAAATGGCGTTCCGTATCTGGTTTTTCGGGATTTGGTAGGAAAGGGACATATTTCATTATTCTGGCGTTTGCCATCCGTGAAGGTTGCCATGGTTTATAAACTTCGAATCCCTCCTGATATTTCCCGGAGGTGACTGTGTCTTCATCTGTCGACTGCCATGCTGCGATACCCCTCTCTTCTGGGGTACCTAACAATTAATAAAATGTTGAAATGTCTCCTTTTTGGATATTTTACTGGTAGTTTAACACACAGTGCCATTTCAAATTATGCTAGAACATGAATTATACCTGGTACAGTATTGTCAAGGAAGCAGGAGAGTATGGCACCCACCATGTTTGGGTTGCCAAGTAACATCTTTAGTATATCATCTGCTTCTGGATTTCCTGTCATTGAAAATCTCTAAATAATAAAGATTTAGTGCCACCAATAAGCATGGAAGATTGGCAGTATTTTTATTTTTGTGCAGTTGGCCTTACCTGTGTTAACGGTGTTAGGGTACCTTTCAATCCAATGTGGCATCATCAACCCAACTAGAAGAGAAGTTCCGATGATGGCCGAGTTTCTAGTGGAAGACAGATCTACAGATTGAAGGTTGGACAAGACTACTCCATTAAACATTCCAAACATAATGATTAGAGCTCCACCTAGCACTGGATGGGGAATCGTGATGAATACAGCGGAGAATTTCCCAATAATTCCAAAGAGAATATAAACCAAAGAAAGACAAACAAATACGTGGCGACTGGCGACCTGAAATGAAATTAGTGTCGTTTATGACTTAAAAAAGGAAGGAAATTGCTTGTCTAAATACATATTGAACAGGTAATACCAACATGCACTAGCAATTGCAGTTTAGGTGTGAGTATTTCATGTTGATTCCTATACACACTCTATTAGTTTTACAATGCAATATGCTCTAAAAATTCCAAAACTCAACCTTTGTCAAGCTTATAGCGCCAATGTTTCCTCCATATGTAGTGGTACCATGACCACAGCCAACAGCCCCTGAAAGTGCGGTACACAGTCCCTCCACAGCTATCCCGCGATTAACTGCGTGTGATGGAGGAGGCGGGACCCGGCATGTGGTGGCGCAGGCGTAATAGTCTCCAATAGAATCCAGAATAGAAACAATGGTGGCGATGAAGAAACCTACAAAGGCGCTGATGCTGAATCGGATCACGCCGAACTGCCCTGCAATTTTAAAACCAGATTCAGTCTAATTTCATTCCAAAGAAGTATATCTGCATTTGCATTTTTTAAAAAGCTTCCACAATTACCTGGGTAAGGAAATTGGAACCACTTAGCATTAGTAATGACGTAAATTCTGGCGTCAGTCCTGGCGTAAAAGAGTCTGTCCTTGACGGATGTAGCACTATCAAACACACCGCTCTCCGTCATGATGATACTTACAACCCAGCCAATCAAGATAGCGATTAAAATCTAAAGCAAATGTTCAACATACCAATGAAAATGTACAAAGCAAAAAACAACAAACCAATAAAAATTAAGATTACTGTCATGCAAAAAGAAGAAAGATTGAGTTGTTAAATGAGACTCAAGAGAAAAAACAGATGCTACAACAGAGTGAATTTTATTTGTACAGATCGACAATAGAAAACAGTTTTCTGAAGAGAATTTAATTGTCCTTACTGCAAACACTTGATGAAGAGGATATTTGATCACGTGACAAGATTTCTTCCTTGTCCATACAGGGATTGGCATGTTGTATTTAGAGAGGTAGAGGGACAAGACGATGGCTATTGCGCATGTCCTAAAAAGACAAGTAAGTTACCTGAATTACAAGTAAACTAGTTTTCTAAATCTTAAAATTGCTTACAAGACAATAAGAATTTCATAAGGAAGATGTTATCATGGTTATTTGCGCTTATTTTTGAGGCAATGGACAATGGTGGTTTGTATAGAAGATACCAATTAATACGGGGTGATGGGGCGAATATAAGATACCTACAAGGAGGCGATTCCCCAGTGAACTTGTGCGAACTTTGTGACTGAGGTAACCATGTAGATTCCTATCAACAGAATCGTGGGGACGATGGTAACCGGCCCAATAAAGCGTAATAAGATTCCAACCAATCCGGTGGCACCAACTATAAAATGGATCAGTCCTGCTAACATCAGGCTTCCCTGGAGCTGAAATATTGAATTTCAAAGAATTTATGTACAGAATGGAAAATATTCTATCGATTATTTTATGAGACGTTACGATTTGATACAAAGGATATTTACAGAAACTACATATTCAAGGATAGTGCTGTCAAAAGTATTCAGAGAACCTTCGATGATAGAAATGTTCAGTAAGATGTACTTAATACCTATACGTAGCAATCACACTTATTACCACAGGACAATTACAAGTAAATCTCACCGTTTGAATATGATAGATAATGACGTCATCTTCGTTGACGGGTACGGTCACTGTCGTATTGGAAGTGGCATTGAAAACTTGAACAAAAAAGAGAATCAAACTAAATTTATAGAATTTAAATTGGTATTATCATTGTTTGAACAAAAGAATGTCAAAATGAAATTCAGGTTAGCATTTATCTTAAAGTTTTGTAAATTTCAATTTTTTGAAATTTTTTTGAACAATTTTGCTTTAATAAAAATCTGCCAGAATGGAAACTACTCACATGTAGAGGTCATATTACACCTGTCTTTGTCTATTGCTGCCATGGCAACTAAGGGCGCCACATAATCTGGCGTGGCTCCTTGGTAAAGTGGCAATCTAAATTTTTAGAAGAAAACAAACAAGAAATAAAAATTAAGCTGTTTTTGATGAAGCGAATACTGCAAGAAAAAAGTAGAGACAGTATACTTTTCTCTGAATCGAATTTTTAATCCAAACCTGACACCTATAGTATTCATGAGAAGTGTAGTTATTCCATTCATGAACAAAGTAGAACTAAGCAGGCGAGATTTGAAATCCTCTTTGTGCTCTGCACATGCGTACTCAGCAACCAGCAAAGACACAGCCAAGGAGGTGGAGAGGGCTAACAGTGCTTGCTGAAAAAAATCAAAATAAATTGTGATTTTTCTCTCAACTACTGCCAATAAGTAAGCTAAAAAAAATGGAAGACAGAGATATCCATGTCTCTCTGGCTCTTCATTTTGTTTTCTTTTCTTCAGAACTTATAATAATCATGTTTAACCATACACAGAAGAAAGATTCAAATGAAGGATATGGTTTGCCTTCTTTTGATATTCAGATAATCAATGGATGAAATCTTTTTGATGCCACAGAACTAAAGGTGACAACGATATCTAGAGGAATAATAGACTTGGAGGCCAAATGCAAGACCAGAGGTGACAACGTCTGTCCGTCTGTTACGCATAGGGGTACACATCTCTATGCGCGTCTCCTCTTTTACCTCTGAATGAAATTTAATGAAACGTTCACAGAATCTTTGTTACATATGTAATGCCATTGTGCACCTTCTTTTTCATCTGATTGACACGTATTTTGGGTTTCACAGAGCAAAATATGAGCACTGCTATTCTTTCTATTACATGGAATGGAACCCATCTCTTATCTGCAACTCCTCCTATACCACTGAATCAAAATTAATGATACTTTCACAAATTCTTTATTACATAATGCCATTGTGCATGTCCTGTTTTACTTTTTTATTTGACACTTATTGCGGGTCTCCCTATGCAAAACATGGACTTTGCCATTATAACAATATGGGAAGCGGGAGTATCATTTAGTGAGCTCAGTGCTCACAGAACGTCTAGTTACGATGTAACTTATATCATCAGGGTAATGTTCCTGCAAGATTTTGCATTAAAAAAACCCGATGTATGATAACAATTTTCATTAAAAATTCTGAAGAACAAGGTTAAGCAAGTGAAGTATGCTTTACACTGTTTTCACACCATGGTAATCCTTGGTTAGTATATGTTATATACATTATACCTGCATGGCAAAGAAGAGGGTGAGATGAATGGGTGTGGCGTCACTGATTTTGTAGATAAGGGGACTGTCCTCCATATCTATTTCAGGACGTTTTTCCTGGACATTCTTGATGTCGTCTCCTGGATTCTGTTGATGATGGTTTGAAGTTTGTTTTGTAGTTTTCTGGTCATTTTGGTATGGACCCTACAATACCGTTACATTGTTAATCAGCTGTTCGACTGAGATACTTGTCCAAGGGCAAGAAAAATATTGCAAAACGTTCATGCAATTCTGTATAATTTATCGGCTATTCCACTAGGATACAACGTCTTTAAAATGGAAAAACAATTGCAAAAAATCCAACTGGGGCGACGAAACGAGTAGATATTGTAGAACAACAGGAAAATTACAAAACATAACAAAATTTCAAAGTTATTCATACGATTATATCTCCTTTTATAAAATGAAAAATGAACTTCCAGCAAAAGACCGTTGCAATATTTCAAAGGATAGGTACAGTTTAATTCTATCAATTCCCAAAGTATATCAAAGGTCATGAAGTCGTTAACCCTCTTTATAACAAAAAAAATTCGAATGCATCATAAACATCAGTAAAATATCAAATCCACAACTCTTACATCTTTCAAGATGTAATTTATTGACTGCTTTTAAGATACAAGTCGTGACAGATGGATAGACAGACGGACAAATAGACAGAGACGCTGGGCACAGTGATCTCTAAGTGTGACTGTTCCTCTGCTGTGCATACGACACATATAGATATTATCTATTTGGAGAGGAGTGGACATAATTATTTTTTACAAACTGAAAAGCCCTTCGCATCCATTCAGCATGAACTTTTCATTCACCGTACTTTTCCGCTCTTTTTGATGTTTTTATGGTCTGTCAGGGAATTCATTGTGTAGATTTTTGCTGATCAGAAGGTTATAATGGTTTAGGACCAGTCAACTCTTGCCACGATGACTACATGCTTGACCTTTGTCATGTATGATTAATGGGTTGTAAAGAATTCTAACCAGATGAAAATATATAGATTCAAAAATATTTCAAAAGTTTTTAAGTTAATAATGGCACAAATTATTCATGTTTGAGTATGCATATAGCCCTTTAAAAAAGATAGCGTAATGATGGTTGAGAGTGCTTAAATCCTAACATTTTTGGTGAAAAATTGCATCAAAATACAGTATATTTGTACTATCTTCAATGTTTATTTTCTATTAGAATAACCTTTAAAAATATCCATTACTTCGCGTATAACGCAAGACCTTTGCGTTTTAAGGTTGTTTTGGGAACATTCCGCGTCACAACGCAAAAGTTAGTGCTGATTTAAGTTTATAACCTTAGATCACAAAATATTTTATTTCCACTAATGACTTTTTGGGGGATCGCCTGGACTGATTTAGTAGATATACCATCCTTTATTTTGGACTTAAGGCCATATATGGTCCCTGCAGGGTACGAATTTAGTATTCCGCATGAATATAATATTTTTGCATGTAGTTAAAAGGAGGGCTACAACTCAAGTCCCAAAATAGTGCTTTGAGATCATGTGTTTTGATCCTATTTAAAAGACGAAGTGGAATGGAAGCGTTGCTATTCCATGTGGATTCACCATCAGTTTTAAATTCTAAATCAAGGCGATTGACATAGTTAAAATTCACAATGTAAATAGTGAACGTTGAGGAGGAGGGGGCATCCCCCGAAGAAAATTATTACATGTACTTAACCTCTGCCTATGTAACTAACTTTAAGAATTTTGTGGAACTTTTAAGTTCCTCCCCATCGCCGGCAATCATCTGCCCTAATAAGGATTTATTGGAATAAAAAATCTCAAAGAGCAAAACTTGTAATATAAGATTTATAGTCAATGTGGATTTCAAAGGCTTAGAGTATATTTTTATGTTTTTACTCTTCAAAGGAGATCTGCTCGCGCATACCTTGTTTATGAAGTCAGATTCCTCCACAAAGACTGGATTACTGGATCCGTCCAGATGTTCGGGATCTATGGACGTGAAACTAAGAGGACGGACTTCAATCTCCGTATCCATGCTTTAAGTCTCTACGCAGGTATAATATTTCCCAGATGAATTATACTTTCATCGCTCTGATGCCTTTATTAATGCCTTAAAGGATGTTTTGATGCATGGAATGAATCAAGGTGGTTTTCATTTTTTTTTTAACAGGGCTCTAGTGCGGGGGTGAGGGGGAGTGGTGCTTTTCTTGTATATATGTGAAATATTTGGTTAAGAGTATGACTTTGTTCAATATCTTGAGGCCCTACCCCTTAGAAAATTGTTACTAGCCATATAAATTTTTAACGTGTGTTTGTTTATGAAAATACATAGCAACCTTGAACTTATTTCAGCTTACTGCACGGTATCTTGACAATTGTGTATGTTCAGGAGAGTAAAGTTTGTACACTGTATTTTGCATGTTAAAGCGACTCTTTTATGTGCATTTATATATCCGTTCCACTTTGCATAGAAATATTTATGTTTTTGTAACTGGAATTGGATTTGGAGTCATTTTTACATACACGGGCACAATTGATCTCATTAATATATTCGAGAAATGATGTAAATCCTAAGGAACTTTTTCAGAATATGAAAACACAAAAAATTACCAATATCATTTCAACTTAATATACAACACTTCCTCACGATAAATTAAAATACATGCGTTTTTATTGACAGTTTTCTTTCAATAAAAACGAAGCTTTTACTTACCTTGTTATTGATCATTTCCAAAATGATTTTGTTAAAACATTCTGATTGTACACACAAGTACTCTGAAGTTGACATCAAAAAGATGCTTCAGTTTCTGATTGACAATATCTATGTTGTTTTTGGAGACCAGGTCTTCCAACAATATATTGGAAATCCCATGGGTACCAATAACGCCCCGTTTTTAGCAGACCTTTTTGTGTTCATATAAAGCAGATTTTGTCCAAAATCTTATACATGAAAAAGAAGTAAACAATTCATGTGGCATTCAATTCGACATTTAGATTTTTTTGAAGAAGTATTGTCAATTAACAGCGGTTATTTCCATTCTTATGTCGATACATCAATTAAAGATGCCACAGAGTCGGACACATGAAATATACATGTATGGAGATAACGAACAGTATTCAAGCTCAGAAGTCAGAGCAGAACAAACAAGGACCTCCAAAACATCAGAGGTGGGATAAAGTTTTAATTTAATTAAGATCATTTGAAGAAGGTATAAGATCCGCTATATTGGCAAAAAATAATGCATGATATCAAACTATAAGAAGGGGGCAGGTTCACGTTTCACTGAATTTGTCTCCACCTTACATCTGTACATATCATTGTCAATATATATAAACATTTGGAATTCTTCGATGTGTAAGCTTATGGTACCCCTTTATTCTGAATTTGGTTACCCAAGGATTCTTGAGTAGTGTGTATTAAACACTAGTAAATGGTTTTCCCCACGTTTGTATGTCCTATATATCTTTAATTGCCCTTTCTACACTGCCTTCTCTATAACGCCCGCAGTTAGTTTTTCAATAAGCTTAGAGTGTTGCAATCTGTGATATACATGTACTAAATATTCAAACGAGTAAATCTAAAGGGAGAAGCAATTTATACCACTCCCACTTTCCCCACCCGAAATAGTTTGACACTCCAATCACAACCCAACTCCAAATCCCTAGAAAGAACTTCCTGGATCCGTGCAAGGTTTAAAAATTCATTTCAGTATCTAAAACATTGAGCTGATTCACACACTCGAATATTATTAAAAAAAAGTTCTCTGGAGCCGGGGGTGGGGTGTGGGGGGGCTGGGTGTAAGGAAATATTAAAAAATATATTTTTTAAAACTTTATCTCTTGACCACTTTGCTTAACGTACATTATGAAAAGAATTTCTGACAAAAAACGCGTAGGTTAAGGAGATTGTAACTACTCCTACAGTAATTTTATCACTATAACATGTATAACAGGGCTATCAATCGGTCTGTCCTCGATGTCCAAATTATGTCCACTTATACATCAAAATTTCAAGCTAACGACAGTCAAAGATAATTCAAAATTGTAATTACCTTGGTAATGGCAGGTAAAAAGAGCGTGTCTTCCTCCTCAGAATTCATGTTTTTAATTCACATGCAAAAGAAACGCTCAGTAACATAATATAGGCCACTTAATTACAGACTCACATGCAGAATGTGTCACTATTTACAGGGCTGTCCTTGGTTGATAATTCAACTTTCCTTATCAGGGGTAACACGTACTGGGGATACATTAAGGTCAGCATGATAACTCCCGTAACTCAAAATCAATTTTATATCAGTTATGAAGATTTCTTAAGATTTGACTCGACCTTCCTCTGAACAAAAACGTTGATAACAAACTTTCCCCCTCCGATATGAGCATGATGAGTTTTGGATAGTTAGAAGTCTTTTCACATTTTTGACTGAATACGATTATAGTTAAGAACAATCGATTTTGTATTTTGGATCGAGGACATATAACAGTCGAGCACTTCTTTTCAAAGATTGGTTATTTTAAGTTAATTATTTTGCTCATCATGACCATTCATCTAATTTGTATGCTTATTAACCCGGGACACAGAAAATAATCAAGGAATGAATACGTTTTTCATTATGTGAACAATTTAGACCTGTCCTATCATCAGCGATTCTTTTACATCATAATAATGCACTATGGTGGTATACTTAATTTTTAGAAAGAGAGATTTCCAAAGAATGAATGCACATTCACTATACGATCATATGGGCTAGGTCTTCATACCAGAAACTGACAGCAGAAAAGAAGAAAAGTGATTACGTTAAAAAATGAAAGTAGGGAAAAAGAACATACCAGAAACTGACAGCAGAAAAGAAGAAAAGTGATAATTTATAATTTTCAAATATTAAAAAAATTGTATTTTTACTACGATTAAACATCAACTTTAAATACATGTGTATACTTAAAAATGTAACTGATTAATTTTTTAAGCAAAATATGTAAATTACGTGAAAAACTAGGGTTATGTATGAAAAATAAAGTGAACTTAAGGAAAATAAGTACTTAGGCATGTCCTAAGATTGGGCCTAAAACATACTAAAGGAGAAAAACTTAACAAGCTTTATGTTACGAGCCCCTGGAAAATAAGAGCAGTAAAGGAGAAAATTAGAGATGGGAAAATGAGAGCTGAAAAGGAGAATACTAGAAACGGCGAAGATTGGACAGAAAAAGAGAAAATTAGAGGCAGTGGAAAAAAAAGAAGCAAAACGGTTAAATTTAAAAACAAACATTGAATGAGCTGAAAGGGGGAAAAGAGACGGGAAAATTGCAAGCAGGGAAGGTAAAAGATTAGAAACGGGAAAATGAGTTCAAAAGAAGAAAAAGAAATTGGAAAAATAAGAGCAAGGAAGCAGAAAATTAGAGACAAAAATGAGAGCCTGAAAGGTTAAAAAGAGACGGGAAATTGAAACCAGAAAAGGAGAAAATTATCATAGGAAAAAATTACAGCTGAAGAATATTAGAAGGAGTGAATTCGAAGATGTAGCAGGAAAGAGGAAAATTAGAGAAAATAAATCTGAAAAAAAATGCATCCGAAAAAGTGTTAAAAAAGTGAAAATGAAAGGAGTGAGAAAATTACAGACGGAAACACGAGAGCAGGAAAGGCTGGAAAAATGAAGTAAAGGATAATATATGCTATAGAGACCGTGAAAATGGATTACAACAGCTGTAGAGGATAAAATTAGAAACGGCGAAGATGGTAGAGGAAAAAGATGGATAAAATGAGAAATGGAAAAATGATAAAGACATGGAAATGAGAGCTGGAAAGGAGAAATTTAGAGACGTGAAAATTTTTGTAAAAATATCATTAAACAATTTTAACCTCAAACTTTTATTTCGTACTGACAAAAATTTTAAAAATTGAACCATTTACAGGAGAAACATAAAAATAAGCAAATTTAAAGATATAAAATATTTTTAAAATGTTTACGGAACTAATAATGACATATAAAAGAAAAAAATATTTTAGTAATTTCAAGTTCGCGTCTCGTTTGATCTCGTGATCCGCGCCTGTCAACTCAACGTGATATGGCTCTTCGGATCAAGTTACTGTTATAATTAATAATAAATTTATTTATAATATTTCACCTCTTTGATTGATATGTACATGTTAAAGTCACATATGGATAGTATAGACAAGTTACTGCATTATAGGGATAGTATGTACAAGCCATCGTCCCATAGGGATAGTATGTGGAAGTTAATGTCCCATAGGGATAGTATGTACTAAACTCTTTCTTCTTCCCAATTCCTCTGACAAATGGCGTTCAAATTCCGGTTTTTCGGGATTAGGCATAAAAGGGATATATTTCATTATTCTGGAGTTTGCCATCCGTGAAGGTTGCCATGGTTTATAAATTTCGAATCCCTCTTGATATTTTCCGGAGGTGACTGTGTCCTTATCAGTCGTCTGCCAGGCTGCAATACCCCTCTCTTCTGGGGTACCTAAAAATTAAAAATAAAAAAAAGGTTGTAATGCCTGTTTTTTGGATATTATACTAGTTGTTTAACACACGTACAATTTCAGATTCTGTTAGAACATGAATAAATACATGTACCTGGTACAGTATTGTCAAGGAAACAGGAGAGAATGGCACCCACCATGTTTGGGTTGCCAAGTAACATCTTTAGGATGTCATCTGCTTCTGGATTCCCTATGATTGAAAATCTCTGAATAATAAAGATTCAGTGCCACAGTAAGTATGGGAGAATGGCGGCCATTTTGCAATTGGTCTCACCTGTGTTTACGGTGTTAGGGTACCTTTCAATCCAATGTGGCATAATTAATCCCACTAAAAGAGAGGTTCCGATGATGGCAGAGTTACGAGTGGAAGACAGATCTACCGATTGAAGGTTGGACAAGACTACTCCATTAAACATACCAATCATAATGATTAGAGCTCCAGCAAGCACAGGATGGGGAATCGTGATGAATACAGCAGAAAGTTTTCCGATAATTCCAAAGAGAATATAAACCAAAGAAAGACATACAAATACGTGGCGACTGGCGACCTAAAACGAAATTTTAAAGGCATGTAAAATATATACACTTCGAACAATATCCACTGTAGACTAGAGGGTGTGTATTTTAAATCATATATCTATGTACTAACAGGTTCTCAATACTAAATGTCCTAGAGTTCTTTAACCCCCACCTTTGTCAAGCTTATAGCGCCAATGTTTCCTCCATATGTTGTGGTACCATGACCACAGCCAACAGCCCCTGAAAGTGCGGTACAAAGTCCCTCCACAGCTATCCCGCGATTAACGGCGTGTGATGGAGGAGGCGGGACCCGGCATGTGGTGGCGCATGCGTAATAGTCTCCAATAGAATCCAGTATAGAAACAATGGTGGCGATGAAGAAACCTACAAAGGCGCTGATGCTGAATCGGATCATGCCGAACTGCCCTGTAATAAAAATATACACAAGCCAGGGTTACATGTCTGTATCTGTCTTTTTCTTTGACTATTCGTACACCCCCTCTCTCTCTCTCACTCACCATTAAACAAGTGTGGGTAAGTATATCTCCTCCAACTCCGTTGAAAGGAGATATTTAAGGTCAAGATCTAGTAAATGAAAGGTGCCTACAGATTTATCAAATTTGAGAAATAAATTCCTTTATTCATGCTTTACAACTTTAGCTTGGTCAAATCAGGTGTTTCGGGGCATAATTTGTAGGTAAACAAGATGAAAAACTGTATTTTAAACTGTCATTTTCAATGAAAAATTAAGAACACCAGTCGTGAAAATGGGAGTTTTTCCCATTTTCGACAAAGGAAATGTATCCAGATTGCCTACAGTCTCACAGAAAATGGTAATTAGTATGTTCATGGCCTCTTCTTTTAATCAATATCAAATTTAATATAGATATCCGGTTTACTTTTCATATGATTTCAAATTGAATGTTATGAATAAACCCATTTTCTACATAATTCTATTAAAGCCGTAAAGTACGAGAAAAAGAAAGTTGAAATTAATTATGACGTCATAATGGATCTAGCACCAAAAAATTAGTCTAAAGCTATTTACTAGATCTTGACCTTAACACAAAATTACCTGGATACGGAAATTGGAACCACTTAGCATTAGTAATGACGTAACTTCTGGCGTCAGTCCTGGCGTAATAGAGTCTGTCCTTGACGGATGTAGCACTATCAAACACACCGCTTTCTGTCATGATGATACTAACAACCCATCCAATCACGATAGCGATTAAAATCTACAGCAAAATTTAATCCACCAATGAAAATGTAAAAGCAAAAAGTAACAAACCAATCAAAATTAAGATTACTCCAACTTTTATTCGGACTTATTTTATTTCTCGCCGCGAACCGGTACTTAACGTTTCTCTGTCTATTTAAAACAGATCGAAAATGGCTTGATCGCGAAAATTAGTCTTCGTTAAAGATTTTAAAAGTTGGTTTACTTTTATACAAAAAGTTACAAACAAAGTTAAAATAAATTACACTTAACAAATCAACAATAGATAACAATTTTAATTTCTGAGAGAAATAGACTGTCCTTACGGCAAACACTTGATGAAATGGATATTTGATCACGTGACAAGATTTCTTCCTTGTCCACACAGGGATTGGCAAGTTGTATTTAGAGAGGTAGAGGGACAAGACGATGGCTATTGTGCATGTCCTAAAAAGACAAACATGCAAGTATTTGAATTGCAAGTACACTCCTTTTTATTTTTTTTTAAATCTTAAACTTAATTGCTTGCAAGACAATGGAAATCTCATACCACAAGGAAGGAGGGGAGGTGTCATTGTTTTCTTTTCCTTGTGGTGAGTACTTTTAAGGCAATATGGACAAAATTGTGCTCACTATATGACTGTTATACTTACATGGTGGTGATTCCCCAGTGAACTTGTGCAAACTTTGTTACCGCGGAAACCATGTAGATCCCTATCAACAGAATCGTGGGGACTATGGTAACCGGACCAATAAAGCGTAATAAGATTCCAACCAATCCGGTGGCACCAACTACAAAATGGATCAGTCCAGCTAACATCAGACTTCCCTGGAGCTGAAATATCAAATTCCAGAGAACATTTATGTACGGAATGGAAAATACCCCTTTCCACTACTAGTATTTGATGCGACTAAAATTTATGTACCAAAAATTACATATTTTAAAACATGTTTAAGGACAGTGTTGTCAAAACTATTCAGAGCACCTTTGTTTGATTATACCCATGCCTAGAATGATATTCTTTAAAAAAAAAACCTGGAAGTCGCAATCACACTTCTTACTACAAGTAAATCCCACCGTTTGAATATGATAGATAATGACATCGTCTTCGCTGACGGCCACGGTCTCTGTCGTATTGGAAGTGGCGTTGAAAACTGAACAAAAGGAGAATCAGTTTGAGTTAATAGAATCTGAATACATGTAGATCGTTTGAATATCATTTCAAAATACTCGATACTTAACTTTACAAATGTATCAAAATAACTAACAAAGAGAACGCCGTCGATAAAAACTCGCTCGGCCATTCCTAAGGATTTCTCCAAATTTCAAATATTTTTTCTTTCAAATAGAATCTTTTAGAATGGACACCACTTACATGTTGTAGTCATATTACACCTGTCTTTGTCTATTGCTGTCATGGCAACTAAGGGGGCCACATAATCTGGCGTGGCTCCTTGGTACAGTGGTAATCTGTATTTTACAAAGAAACGAAGTCGTACATTGATTAAGCTGTCTTAAATGGCGCTAAAACAAGAAGAACTTGAAGAGCACTGAAGTATGTAATTTTCTCGGAATCGAATTTTTTATTCCAAACCTGACACCTATAATATTCATGAGAAGTGTAGTTATTCCATTCATGAACAAAGTAGAACTAAGCAGGCGAGATTTAAATTCTTCCTCGTGTTCTGCACATGCGTACTCAGCCACCAGCAAAGATACAGCCAAAGAGGGCGAAAGGGACAGCAGTGCTTGCTGAAAAATATTTTTGAAATAAGTTGTTTTTTTCTTTAGGTAAATTTCAAATGAGTTTGTCCATCTTCGCTAGCCAAGGCTGACGATCCGCGCCTCTCCTCTTTTCAAAGAGGAGAGGAGCGGATCGTCACTCTTGGCTAGTGGATAGGCTTTAGGCGAAAGCCTGCCCACTTCTCTAGCGAAGATGGAGTTCCTCTGTCTATCTATTTTTGTTTGTGGACATTATGCTAACTTTAACATATATTTGTTTTGTTTTTTTTATCAAAACTATAGCGCTGTGTTTAGTCATACGGTGAAACTATTTTCGACAAGGAGGATTGAAATGAAAGATCTACATTGTCTTCCTCTATTACGTAATCGGTAATATGTCCGTCCGTCTGTTACGCTTTGGGATACTCATCTCTTATCCGCAACTCCTTTCATACCACTGAATGAAATTTGATGAAACTTTCAAAGATTCTTTTTTTACATATTGCCATTGTGCATCTCCTAGTTTACTTTTTGATCCGACACATATTTTAGTTTCCCAGAGCAAAACATGGACACTGCCATTATTCATATGGGAGGCGCGAGGTAACATTTAGTGAGCTCATTGCTCACAGTCCCTCTAGTTATACCACCCGCTTGAAAAGCGGGAGGGTATATAGTAATCGGTATGTCCGTACGTCCGTCCGTCTGTCTGTTACGCTTTGGGGTACCCATCCCTTATCCGCAACTCCTCCCATACCACTGAATGAAATTTGATGAAGCTTTCACAGAATCTTTATTACACATTGCCATTGTGCATCTCCTATTTTACTTTTTGATCCGACACATATTTTGGGTTTCCCACAGCAAAACATGGACACTGCCATTATATTCATATGTGAGGTGGGGTGTATCATTTAGTGAGCTCATTGCTCACAGTACCTCTAGTTTTTATCAGCAATCATATATTTTTTATACCTGCATGGCAAAGAAGAGGGTGAGATGAATGGGCGTGGCATCACTGATTTTGTAGATTAGGGGACTGTCCTCCATCTCTATTTCAGGACGTCTTTCCTGGACATTCTTGTTGTCGTCCCCTGAATTCTGTTGACGATGGTTTGAAGTTTGTTTTGTATTGTTCTGCTCATTTTGGTAAGGACCCTACAATACCATTACAAATGTTAATCAGCTGTTCGGCTAAGATACATTTGAAGGAGCAAATCGACAAGGACAAAAAATGACATAAGAGCGGCAATTATGGTCAATAGCTGAAAAATTTTACAGAATGGTATTGAACGTTTTGATTGCCGCTCTCATGTCAGTTTTTGCCCTTGTCGTTGGGGTACTCCATAAAACGTTCAATACCATTCTGTAAAATTTATCAGCTATTTGACCATGATCCATAAGTCTTATGGAGGGCAACAAACAGTGGAAAGACACGATCAAGAAATCAAATAAGGGCGGCGAAGCGAAGAGGGATACCTGCAAAATTTAGATTTTTAATATCTTAAGTGTTATTTTAAGTTTTAGCATAAAAATTTGTAATTGTGCAGAACACTTCAATTCAAACATATGAAAATTTTATTTTATTATCAAAATTATTTCTCCAGTTATAAAATATTGAAAATTTCTATTCTCAGTTTATGGTCTTGGGTCCAGGTGGACAAGGTGCGGGGGAAATGTAATCGGCCTCAGAAAAAAATACAAAACAAAATTTTGAAGTGATTTGAACCATTCTTACTGCCTTACTGCATGTTACTATTTCATATATATAAAAAAAAATCATAGTGTTTTATGGAACGCAGGTGCTTCCTGTTATAGCATCATTAAAGACAACAGGCTATTTTTTTTAACTATAAGCCAAAGGGGTCAAGTTGACATTTGGCCTTTTTTGCACGAGTGAATAATATATTTAAATTTTTCAAAAAGTCTTATAACAAGCCATATACATGTACTTCCCAAATAGCACAATCTTACATTTCAAATGTCAAAAAACTATATGTATCGATGGTGTATCAAAGCTCAGTTACCGTTAACCTTGCTTAAAATTAAAGACTTTTCTGTATTGCATCAAATACATCAGCAAAATGTCAAATCCACAACTCTAACAATTTTTAAAAGATCTAAGGTGTGACAGACGGACAGGCGTTGGGCAAACTGATCCCCAAATACATGAAGATGCCTCTCATCTGCTGACGACACATATAAGTGTAGTGAACGTACATGCACTATCTTCGGAGAGAAGATACTGAGTATACTGAAAATCATTTTATTTCGAACTCTAGACGTAGTTTTATAAAGCAGTACGTGTCTATTCGGTATGAATTTTACATTCATTGTTAATTTTCTCCGCTTCTTTTTTGATGTTTTTATGGTCTCTCATGCAATTATTTTTTATGTAGCTTTATGCTGGTCAAAAGGTTATGGTTTAGGACCTGTTCCCTCTTACTCTGACTATTATATGCATGACCTTGGTCATGTATGATTAATGGGCTGTTAAGACTTCTACACAGATGAATTAACAATCTGATGTCAACATCTTGTAGAATTCTATATATATTTCAAATCTGTTTGAAAAGTCAAAAAAAAGTTAAAGGTACTTGGACACAGAGTTGAAGTCAATAATTAATTTTTGTGTGAAATGCTATGTTTGTATAACTTGCCTTTAATAATGGCACAACATTATAGATGTTTGTATTTGCATAAGTAGATTGTATTAAGGGTTGGGAGTGGTTAAATCTTGTCATTTTAGAAGAAAATTTGTACTAAAATACATCACCTGAAAGGGACTTAACACAAACAAAATATGGATGCATGGATTGATATATATTTTTTGAATGATTTTGATTTGAAATGACATAAATAATAAATCCCCGAAATATATTTAGCAATCGTAGGTTTTCCTTGGTGCTATGAGAATTTGTTTTGCTTTCTATATAATTCCATACAAAATTTTGCACAAATTTTTAATCTTATGACAAAATCTTATAAAATTGTCCTACTATATTTGGTAAACATTATTCAGGTCACTAATTCAAATGTTAATCTACACTGTATGAGAAATATTGCTGATTTCTGAAAAAAAAAAGTTTGGTATGTGTTATGTATCCTTAAATTTTTAATTTCAAGTCCAAAAAGGACGTTTGCATTGTTTCGCGTACAAAAGCAAGACCTTCGGCGTGAGTTTCAAGTTGTTTTGCAAACGTTTCGCGTTGAACGCAGACCCTATGCATTGATTTATCGCAAAATTTAAACAAAAAGGTTTTCTTTACTTACGAAATTTATCATACTTTAAAACCAAATAAAACTTTTATCGTTTATTTGTATGGTCGCATTTTAAAGTTTAGGAAGAAGGCAACTTGAGTCCAAAATTGATGCTTGTACGATTTGCCAATTTTTACATATTGTATTTTGATCATCGTCGCAAACCATGGTCAAAATGTACGATCGTCTCACTGAAGGATTTACTTAAATTAATTAACTCTAATTAAGAGGAAGGCTAATCAAAGAAGGGTCTAGTGGATCTTAAAGGTTTTCCTTATTATTACAATATTTTTATGATTTTACTCTACAAAAGAGAAGATCTGTTATAACTTGATCTGCCCGCGCATACCTTGTTTATGAAGTCCGATTCCTTCACAAAGACCGGATTACTGGATCCGTCCAGATGTTCGGGATCTATGGACGTGAAACTAAGAGGACGGACGGCGGTCTCCGTGTCCATGCTTTAAGTAACCTTACAGGAATTAACCCTATCCAGATGACTTACATTGTGAACGGTCTGGTGCTTTTATCATGCCTTAAAGGATGTTTTGATGCATGGAATGAATCAAGGTGGTTTATATATTTTTTTTTTAACAGGGCTCTAATGCAAAGGGAGGGTGGTTGCTTACACGTGTAGTTGTGAAATATTTTGCTAGGAGTATCACCATGTGACATTGTCCAATATCTTGAGGCCCTACTCCTCAGAAAATTGCCACTGGCCATCTTATGTATTAAGTATTAGAGAGCAATGTATTAATTTTGTAAGTATAGAAGCGACTTTGTTAGTGTTCATATAGACCTATATATACCCGTATTCCTGTCAGTATTAAAAATAGCATAGATCTAGGGGGAAAACACTGATGCCCCGTACAGCAATCTATGGCGAAGGAAAAAGTCTCTCAATTGCAAGTTCAACTCCAAGGCCAAGAGATCAAAAATGATGTTTTCCAAAGAAAGGACTTGTACCTACGGAAGCGTATTAGTGCCACTTGGACACTTCACTTTTTTTTTTATTTCTACACTTTAAAGTGTAAATTTTACACTTTAATTTGTAAATTTTATACATTAATCTGTAAATTTTACACTTTAATCTGTAAATTTTACAGATTAAAGTGTAAATTTTACAGATTAAAGTGTAAAATTTACAGATTAATGTGTAAATTTTATACTTTAAAGTGTAAATTTTACACTTTAATCTGTAAATTTTACACTTTAATCTGTAAATTTTACACTTTAATCTGTAAAATTTACACTTTATTTTGAAAAACCTGAACTGCAATAGGTTATGATCGAACGGTCGATTTGTGATGTTTTACCTCTGACACTTGAGAAAAAGTATTAAACTGAGATGTTTACAATTGTTTGTATATTTTTATTTTACATGTACTCGTACTTGTTTATTAGTATATGATAAACAAGGATGGCCTATTTCCTCATAGGTCTCGTAATTTTCCCCAGCATAAGAAATCAGGGATCTGCTTTTGTTTCAGTATATATACATGTGTTTCTTTAGTTTTACTATAGTGTAACGAAAAGTAAAAATATAGATCTCAAAAGATTTTTTATTTGCAGTTCAGATTGATATTACGCTTCCGTAATTATCTTGCATGATTAACGGTCTGTTGGCTTTAAAAATGCGTTACTGGGAATGTGTGAAGTTGCTAAATTGACTATGTGAATAAACAAATAAAGTGTAAAATTTACAGTTTAAAGTGTAAATTTTACAGATAAAGGTATAAAATTTACAGATTAAAGTGTAAAATTTACAGATTAAAGTGTAATTTTTACAGATTAAAGTGTAAAATTTACACTTTAAAGTGTAAAATTTACAGATTAATGTGTAAAATTCACAGATTAAAGTGTAAAATTTACAGATTAAAGTGTAAAATTTACAGATTAAAGTTTTAATTTTACAGATTAAAGTGTAAAATTTACAGTTTAAAGTGTAAAATTTACAGATTAAAGTGTAAAATTTACAGATTAATGTGTAAAATTTGCAGATTAAAGTGTAAAATTTACACTTTAAAGTGTAAAATTTACACTTTAAAATGTAAAATTTACAGATGAATGTGTAAAATTTACAGATTAAAGTGTAAAATTTACAGATTAAAGTTTTAATTTTACAGATTAAAGTGTCAAATTTACAGATTAAAGTGTCAAATTTACAGAGTAATGTGTAAAATTTACACTTTAAAATGTAAAATTCACAGATTAAAGTGTAAAATTTACAGATTAAAGTGTAAAATTTACAGATTAAAGTTTTAATTTTACAGATTAAAGTGTAAAATTTACAGATTAAAGTGTAAAATTTACAGATTAAAGTGTAAAATTTACAGATTAATGTGTAAAATTTACAGATTAAAGTGTAAAATTTACACTTTAAAGTGTAAAATTTGCACTTTAAAGTGTAAAATTTATAGATTAAAGTGTAGATTTTACACTTTAAAGTGTAAATTTTACAGATTAATGTGTAAAATTTACAGAGTAAAGTGTAAATTTTACAGATTAAAGTGTAAAATTTACAGATTAAAGTGTAAAATTTACAGATTAAAGTGTAGAAATTTTAAAAAAGTGAAGTGTTCAAGTGGCACTAATACGCTTCTCTATGTACCAGTGAATATACCAGTGAAATACGAAAGCCCAAGAATCCAAAATCATGGCCAAGGTTAAAGTTTTTACAAAATGGGACAAATTCTAAGGTTAAGAGTCAAAATCAATGATACCCTAGGCCTGTGAAAAAATTTGGTACAAGAAATAGTATTTGAAATATTAATTATATATAAAAGCCCTATCATTTTTTAATACAGAGTAAGTAAAATTTCAGTCAAGTTTAAAAGGTCAAAATTGCTGGTATCCAAAGGAATGTTTTGTCACAAGGAATTCACCTGTGAAATATGAAAGTCATAGTTTACATTGTAATTGTTCAAGAGTTTGTTTGTTTATTGTTTCAAGTCCCTCTCGAGAATTCTTCACTCGAGACCCCACAACTTGCCGGACTGTAAATATAATACCTATCCTCGACACTCCGTTGAGCAGAGTTTGTGCCACATCTACTACGACACGGGACCTCAGCTTACACGGTCTCATCAGAAGGAACAGTCTCCATGTCCTCCAGTGGATTCGAACCTGCTACGTAAGGATCAGCTCCTTACTTCGCGACTTTAGAGCAGACTATCGAACCACTGTGCAAAGTAAAGTTTTTTTTAACAGGGGGCAAACTATCAAAGTATTTTTTAAAAAGCAGGAAGACGTACTATATGTAGTTTTTGCCATGGCCATTCGTCGGTCTGTCTACTTGTTAACTGTTTGTCCGCAAAAACGTTAACCTTGCCTATAGCTTTTGATTGGTTGGAACTATGGCTTTAATATTTCGCAAGTGTGTTCCTTGTGACAAGCTTTCTTTGGGGATGAATATGTATTTTACAACATGGCCTTGGAGTAATACCCATTTTGCAAAAAATTATCAATTACTTTTGTGCAGTTGATGCTAGGGCTTTCATACTTCACATATGTATTTATTGTGACAAGACCTTTTTGGATAAAAATATGTTTATTTCTATCCTTTTGAACCTTGGAGTTTGAACCACTTTTACAAATCTCATTCGTCTGTCCGTCTGTCTGTCTGTAATTCTGTCCATCCTTTCCAAAAACTTTAATCTTGGTCATATCTTTTGATAGGACTTTCATATTAGACAAGTTTATTACCTTTGACAAGACTTTTCTAAATATACTATGAATTTTGACCCCTTGACCTTGAATCTGTTCTTTTAAAAATTTAGCAATAGTTTGAATTGGCCATAAGTTTTGATAGAAAAGAGATAGGGCTTTCATATTAGAGATGTGTATTACCTGTGACAAGACCTTCCTTAATACACTATGATTTTTGACCTCGTAACCTTGACCTTGAAGTTTGACCTACTTTGCAAAAACTTTAACCTTGGTCATATCTTTTGAATGAGAAAAATTATAGGACTTTCACACATGTTTATTACCTGTGACAAGGTCTTTCTAAATACTTTATGATTTTTGACCTTCAAGTTTGACCTACTTTTAAAAAAAATTAAACATTAATAATTAATAAAAAAATTAAATATTAATAAGTTAAGATGACCATGGAAAAGATTAAGTCATCTTAATTTTAATACAATTTAATTTTTATTGACATTTATCGTCTATATAGTTAGTAAAACATCAAAACATGAAAAAAGAGGTTTCAGAAATCGAGTCGAGAATCGAGTCGACATATGAAAATTAATTTTAAAACTGTCGTCGATATATCTAAATGTCGAAATGAGGGCAACAGCAAGTGTTTTTCTCTTCTTTTGTAGAAGTTTTTGAATAAATCCTGCGTCATGTTTCCCCCATAACATTAATTCTTGGACAGCTTTGCTTACGTACGTTATGATACCCCCCCCCCTTTTTTTTTCGCCGTGCGAACTTTGTTCACTTGTTAATCAAAATTTCGCGTTGGTGACAATTATACAAAATTCTAAATTCTAATTACCTTGGTAATGGCAGGTAAAAAGAGCGTGTCTTCCTCCTCGGAATTCATGTTTTAATTCAAGTGCAAAAAACGCTTAATAACAAAATACAGGTTAATTAATTACAGACTCACATGGAAAATGTGTCCCTATTTACAGTGGTCAGGTGTCCTTGGTTGATAAAACAACTTTCTTAATCAGGGGTCACTGGCGATACATTAAGGTCAGCGGGTTAATTCCCCTCTCTGTCAACAACAACTCAAAAATCAATTTGATAAAATCATTTTATCAGTTATAAAGATTTGCAGGTTCTGACTTGACTTTGTTTTGAACAAAAAATTTATAAACAAACCCCGCCTGTTCCCATTTTATAGTGGTGGGTTAAGATAGATTCTTTTACTGGATACGGAAAAGGAATATTTCGGATGAAAATTCCATGATGACATTTCACACACAAACACGCAAAAAAAAATACAAAAACGAAATTCGCAATGACTATTGCGTTATAAACGCAAAACTGTGTTTAACAGAATAATGTGTTTCTTTGAATTGGTCTCAATGGGCTTCCGTACAAAACGAAAAGGAGGCCGATAGACCTTAATGGTAACCTGATTTATAGGTGTATAATCAAGGGGCATAACTTCTCTCAAAAGAGAGTAAAATTTTTGTACAAAATCAATGGAACCCTGTCTACAGTAACACCAGAACCTCTGACATCGAGGCCGAGAATTTCACACATAATTGGGTAGAGGCATCATTGCACTCCTTTGATTTAGTAAAGGAATTTTCATATGACAATTCGAGTCCTATCCTAGAACACAGCCCCTAACACTACGGTCTTGAATTTCAAAATTTAGGTAGAGGCACTTTTCGTCTTCATAACCAATCACTTAGTTTGATGGCTTATTATTAGTGAATGCACAGTCACTGTATTTGATCAGTTGAGCCCATCTTTAACACCAGAACCTCTAACTATGAGGCCGAATAGTTCACAAAGAACTATATGCGGTATATTGCATATATTTGCCCCCACAAAAGTCAAATTTTGAAAACTTACTGAAATGTGCTGAATTAAATAAATTGTATGAGAAATATAAATTAACAGAAAATATTATAGTGTCAAAGCAGTGTATTCACAATTGTTGTTTTTATGACGTCACAAACTAGTCCGATTTTATATCCTTTTTCAGAAAGAGGGCAAAATGGACAAAATTTAAACAATTTTAGCTTTAAAATTTATAGAGCGCAAGTTTGTTCAGGAACAATATTGACATATTTCATTGATATTATCATTCTACACATTATATCAAAATATTGATCCTGAACACACATGCGCTCGGTGACTTTTACTCAAAATATTGACGAAATAGGTACATTTTTCTGTAAAATTCATAAAAAACTGAAATTTACGTCATGTTTGTGAGGTCATTACGTACATATGGCGTCATTACTTATGAAAATGTTTAGTGCTTTGAAGTCAGCATATACTCCCGTTTAAGAACTTAATTATATGTATCTCCATCAAAGTTTGATTTGGGGGGGCAAATATTGGTTATTACCAAATAAGGTTCTTTGGAAGAGGTACCTTTACTCGTCATAATCATGCTCTTAGTTTGTCTGCTTAATGTGCATGGGAAAAGATTTTTTATTAGAATGTATACATTTTCACTATATAATCTATAAAAGATTATGAATTTCACAATGTTGGTAGAGTGCACAATGCATACTTTGTACACTGTATTTCAATACAGAATTCGGAAATGTCCTTGCAGAAAAATAGCTGAAAGAAATTAATGGCGAAGGATTAATTATACATGTGGTAGGATCCTACCAAATTAAGTCACAAGGTTAATAGTATTATTATACATCTTTTAGAGTACAAACATCTTATTTTTTTTTAATCTTCATGCAGGAAAGCAAAATTTATCTGACACACCTTCCAATTTGCAACCCTATGCCACTTGTTGGAATAACATCATTTATTAAAAAAAATGTTATACAATGTACATCAGTTTAATAAATATTTATTCATCAATATAATTCTGATTAGTTACATTATACATCTTTGTGCATGCAGTGAAACAAAACAGTCAGATACAATATAACTTAAGGACGGCAACAATGATATATTAGAGGACGGATACCAAACATGGTCTGTACAGTTTAATGGACAACAGTAATTTCTTTGGTATGTAAGCATGCAGTATGTTTAATGATGTGTATCTACAATGTACTGATACCATATGACTGGAAATTTCACAAATTATACAATTTTGACATATTAGAGATGTTAATCAAGTTTACTTAAAATTAATTTTGCCAATTTTATGAAGTGTTTTCATAAGTGACATGGTTTCAAGTATTTACCCTAGGTAATTCATTTTATTAAATAAAATAAATAATTTGAACATTTTTTTTGAAAGGGGGGGGGGGGGGGGACAGGTCATTTAATAATGGCAAAGTTTGTGCAAATATTGCTGAATTTGTAACAAAATAACCAGCTATTAGAAGTTGATATATTTATCCCCGATTTGTAATGGAATACAAACAAAGGAAATACAGTACATTTCAGTGAACAACAATACATAAAAAAACACTTCTTCAACTACTGTTCCCTTAAATATTCCAGCTTACTATGTATGGTAAAATTGGAAAACTACTAAGCTCTTTATAATGTCTACCAGAATAAAAAAAGTGTATGCTATTAAACTGACAATCCGGTTCTTAACAAAATCTTAAAATCGTGAATCGTAGCAAACAGCAAGAGGAATCATAACTTAGAATTAAAAAAAATTCAGTCTTCAAAATAAAAACCATTTATAGCTAAAATGACTTACCAGTAATTTAACAAAAAAATAAATAAATTTAGTAGTGATTTTGATTAAGGTACAAATTAACTCCCTTGTTAAAAGGTTAGTCAAATCATCTGAGTAAAAAAAATCCTTTTGTTCTGTCCAAAGTCCATTCACCACAGTTTTACGTAGACAATGGTAGAGTACTATAGTCCTGTTCTGTCAGGTACACAGTTACTGGTCAGTGTCTATTTCACCGCCGCAGGTTCCCTGTGGGTCGCATGGACTCCACTCGATTCTGGAGATCATCGATGCGTACATCCTTCAATTGAATGAGATGTTCCAGACGATGGACCTTTGCTTTCAAAATCTGTTGAATGCATGTAGGTTATACATTATTTTGATTTATAGTAATTAAATTGACAGATAATATAATCACTATTATACTATGCATGTATATATCACATCTCCCATCTTAATGTATGTTTTATCTCTCTCTGTTTATTCCACCTATTACCTGTATTAACCTTATAGTCTGCTCTTCATTAAATGTAGAGCTAATAGCTGCCACTTTCCCTTGATGTATCTCATTTATCCTTATTCTTTGCAAATAAGTGAATGACTGTTAAATCTTTAATGTTCTCTTGACAATATTTTATATTGTCAAAATAAATGCTTATCCCTCTTCTTCCATGGTCTACATATTTAACCCTTTTTTTTTACATTTTGCTTTTGACTGTAACCTAGAGAGCTTGGAACATCTTTGGCTACCTTGAGAGCTGAGAACATTAAAGAACAATTAATAAATGATTGCCTACCTGTATGGTTTCATCTTTGGCCAGACATTCCTGGACCTTATCCTCAAACAGCAGTCTTGGTACAGAGTTTGCCTCAGTTAGATGTGGGGGGATCCTTCTTTGTTTGGGTTTCTCTGTAAAGTTGCTAGGCCTGAAATTATTAACAATTCGAATCTATCAAGAACAAAACAGTTAACAGTGAGCCATGTCTTCAGCAAAGGTTTTCAAGAGGTCAATTACAGCATGAAAGTTATCCATTTACACTCAGTATACAATAAAGCAAATGTTTTAAGGTAAAACCCAATCCTTCACACCAACAAAATAATGTATTTACTTTTGAAAAACACAAAAACCTTAACCATGCAGTTACGAATTGCCTCGATCCTAATTATACAACGTGTATTCGATATATGCATGCATTGTATATTTTTCCTAAATCCAGTAAAATAAGTACTTGTATGTATGCAAATATGTGCTTTAAGGCATTTACTGCTACAGAGTCTATGTACTACATAGATGTTTTTTATAAACACAAAAAATTAATCTCTGATTAATATAAAGATACTTTAGCAGCAAATTTTCTTTTGGGTCCATTATTGATAAAGCATAAAGATATAATAGATTCTAAATAGATATTGTTATAAAGAGAGTATATACTGCTTAGCAGAAGTAAAAAGACATTTGCATAAAAAGAAATGTAGACAATTATAAATATTACAAACAAGATACACATATAACACCAAGGCTGTGTGCAAGAAACACTGCATCATTTTGTAAGAAAGACAATAGGACACAGAATATCTCCCTGTCTGATACCTTAATAACTTATCAAGTGTTACAACTTCCTTGCTATCTGCACGTCGTTTAATATACCTGTAAATCACCACACTATGTTATCAAAGCACATAATCAGATCAATTTTCTATAAAGTTAATTTCATGCTTAGTTATTTTTTTTAGTGTTACTTATAGAGCATGCATTGACAACAAACATGAAACCTATACCCCATCAGTTCATCTAATCCAACATGATTAATATGAGCCACTTTCCGAGTCCTAGAGAAAGTAGGTTACAAGTTACGATTTTTGTGAAATTCTCACCAATATTCTTGATGATCATCAAATAAGTATCTTGAAATATATAAAATGTGTCCATTAAAACGAAATGAAAAGTGATTAAAATAGACAGTTTTTCATACACCTGTTTCAGCTATAGTCAGTCTATAAGGAATACTATAAAATCACAAGTTTTCGTGGGGACAAATTTTGGTTTGTGGGCATATGATTTCATGGGTGGAAATGTTTATTAGTAACGCATATAAAATTTTACATTTTGTGGAGGTAATAACGAAATTCATGGGTTTCTCCATACATCAAAAACAAGGAAAATTAAACCCCCACAAAAATTCTACACTATTACTAATCCTGTTTAACATTCATTAACGTTATCGTTTTGTTTTATATGACCCTGAAAAGAAACATTAACATAACTCGAAATCTTAATGGCAAAAGCTTTTTTATATTTTGCAAGTAATACATGTATTCTACATTTTACATTGGCATTTAACTTTGGTAATACACAAACAACTAGATTAATTAAATCTGCAGTGTCAAAAGGCAGAAAATGGTGAGAATAGAGAGGTTTTGAGTAAAGTAAATTAATGGAGAGGGGGAGGGTCATTAATTAGAAACATGGAGAGGTTTTGGGAGAGGTAAATTATTGGGGGGTCATTAATATAGAAATGTGGAGAGGTTTTGAGTGAGGTAAATTACTGGGGGGGGGGGTGATCATTAATGTAAAAATGTATACTGTGTACAATCACTTACCCTCCTCCTCCTCGAGTAGGACTTACTCCTTTTCTACTCCGCCCGGGGGATCCTACAATTCATAGAGAAAATCATCCAATCAGATACAGCAATTTATGTCATGATAAACTATAACAGCTTGCACTTAACAATCTACAGTATAAGACTGTAGAATATGACACCAAATATCAATACTTTTGATGATTACCTATTTATATATAACTATTATACATGCCTTCCTATTTTCTGATGTCAGCTTTGATATCTAGACTTTGAAATAGTCAATTTATAGAATATATGCCAACATCACAAATATTTTTAAATATCAAATATACCATGTATTATGTGTGCATGCCTGAGAAGTTGGTGTCTATTTCTCTCTTTCCTTCTGTCAACTTTGATATCAGAAATTAGCAACACAAGAGAACTTACTGTTTATCAATTTATAGAATATATGCCATTATCACAACTATTTTAAATATCAAATATACAATGTAATCGATATGTGTGCAATATAGTTTTCTTTTACAAAACAATATTTAACCTATGCTATCACCATTATACAATGGTATAATAACATATTATATATCTACAATTTCTGAATTGTAAACATGTACCTAGTACAATAAACACTGTATATCAAAATATATCCAATGTATTTAATTTCAAAATTACTATATTAGCTGCACATTTTATCTAAATGCAGTATATCAAAAGCTTGATTTGTCCTTTCTTTACATACTTTTAATGACCTTTGACAGGTAAACAATTAAAGCAAAAAACAAAGAGAGAGCAGCTCTTGAAATTTTGTGTAAAAGAAATTAGCAAGACAAGAGAACTTACTGTTTATTACAAGATATGTTTGCCGATCGACGTACAAATAATTTCCTTTGAACAGTATCACCAACACATATGAAAATATTGATCTGTAAATAAATGAAATGGGCAATTATAAGTTTATTGCCTTGAATTCAATATTAGATGAAACAAATTTTTACATGTACCGCTTTATCCAACTTAATATTAAGAATCAAATAATTACTGTTACATTGCCTAAAGTAATCGATTACAGGACAAAACTGACTATAATCGATCATTAATCGATTACATAACATTCGCCAAAGTAATCAATTATTAATCGATTACATTTTACAGTAATCGTGCCCATGCCTATTGATTATGAATTTATGATAATTTAATCATTTCTATACATTTTTAATACATGTACATGAATTTCACTTGAGATATAATTTTGGAATTTCAGTGGATTGACTAAAGAACAGACTTATAGCTAAATACCACAAACAATTCAAACTTGTAATGCATGCCAAAGCTGAGTTTGACCTTTAACCTAAGATACACTGCACTCAGTAATGTGTGCATTATCCAAAGCACTGTGCTTAAAAGCATTCAGGTTTTACTTTTGAGAAAGTAGTGTTTCTTTGAGGCTAGACCTTGAAAAAATATAGCATAATTTTTATTCATTAATGATGTGTTTTGCATTTTGTACGAGATCATGGAGATATCTTAAGTTTTTAAAAATAATACAAAAATTATTGTATTTGATCACGAAACTCACCATTCTTTTTAATAATTCATAATTTGACAAATCAAAGCATTAAAAATTCAGAATTGATAGTCAATTAAGTCTCTCATGTCTGAATGGGGTATTTACTCTCTATTATATATGCAGTCAAATTTAAAGTATTTTTCATTTACATGTCGAACACTATTCCTTTTAGTAATGAAAATCTTGAGTTTTACGATATTTGTCACACATTTTGATATCTTTTCACACTGTGACTTAATAGCATTTTTAATCAATAAAAACATTACAGTATTTCACTGTTGCAAATATAATATATGTTCATACTATGTTAATATTTCTATAAGCCTATATTACCGTTAAGTGGCCCCGTTATATACCTACCTATATTCTGGTCGGCCTCCGGCTGATCACTCTCATTTCTCCTACCTCCTCCCTGCCGTTGGGGCGGATTTCTTTTCATTTCCCACTCTGCCATTTCTATTTTCCGTTTCAGCATTCGTAAAAGTAACTCAATGGTTCCTGGCTTGGCATTCACTAAATCCCGAATCAGGGCATCCGAAAGTTCAAAGTTCAGTTTCTTAAACACTTTTCTGTAGCAACGAAGAATGATTTTATAAAATATTCATATGTGGAAAAAATATGGATATTTATAATAGTTTGAAATTTATAAATCTTAATTTTTTAAGTTCAAGCATTCTTAATACATATTTTCTTGAAAAAATCTTTTGAAACACATTTACTTTTCTCACTTTTCCTCAAATGTTTAAAAATAGTTCAACTGTCAGTGAATACATTAATTCATAGAATGTAATATACATGTACCATGATATTATTCTAAATAAACATTACATAGCCACCAAAAAAGCAGAAGAAACATAAACAATTGCAAATTACAGAAAAGAAAGAATAAACAATATAACACGCAGCACTGAAATTATTAGAAAGGGGGAAATATATATTTATATGAATTAGTTTTAATAGAGAAGTTGAATGGGATAAGCCAGCTAAAAGATTTGTTTTTGGGTACACAACACTCAGTCCTGCTTTATATTCTAGCCTAGTCCATAATAACAGGTTTTCTATTTATGTCTTATACCTCACTGTTTAGTCTTAGATGACACAGAGACTCCCTATATCTCACAGCCTAGTCTGAGAGGACTCAAACAGAATCCTATATATCTCACAGCCTGGTCTGAGAGGACTCAAACAGAATCCTATATATCTCACAGCCTGGTCTGAGGGGACTCAAACAGAATCTTACATATCTCACAGCCTGGTCTGAGAGGACTCAAACAGAATCCTATATATCTCACAGCCTAGTCTGAGAGAACTCAAACAGAATCCTATATATCTCACAGCCTAGTCTGAGACAACTCAAACAGAATTGTATATCTCACAGCCTGGTCTGAGAGGACTCAAAGAGAATCCTATATATCTCACAGCCTAGTCTGAGAGGACTCAAACAGAATTGTTTATCTCACAGCCTGGTCTGAGAGGACTCAAACAGAATCCTATATATCTCACAGCCTGGTCTGAGAGGACTCAAACAGAATTGTTTATCTCACAGCCTGGTCTGAGAGGACTCAAACAGAATCCTATATATCTCACAGCCTGGTCTGAGAGGACTCAAAAAGAATCCTATATATCTCACAGACTAGTCTGAGAGGACTCAAACAGGATTGTTTATCTCACAGCCTGGTCTGAGAGGACTCAAACAGAATCCTATATATCCCACAGCCTGATCTGAGAGGACTCAAACAAAATTGTATATCTCACAGTCTTGTCTGAAAGAACTCAAACAGAATCCTATTTATCTCACTGCCTGATCTGAGAGAACTTAAACAAAGACTCCTTTATAAATAAATCACACTGTCTAGTCAAAGATGACTCAAACCAAGGCCTCAAATAAATATATCTCACAGCTTAGCCTTAGTCAGAGAGGACTATAAACATTCAACAAAGGCTAATATATAAATATATCCCACAAACTTAGTTTGAGAGGACTTCAACAAATTAAGGCTTATAAATTCCTGGGTATCTCACTGTCTGGTCTGAGATAACTCAAACAAAGGCTCTTATATAAAAATATCTCACAGCCTATTCAGAGAGATCTTAAACAAATTAAGGCTAAAATATCTCACAGCCTAGTTTGAGATGACTCAATTTAAGACTCCTACCTATATCTAACCAACTCAATAAAAGCCTCCTAAATACAAATCTCACAGCCTTAAGCCAGCAAAGACTGGATAAAAATTTTAATTTTCATGGAGCAATCCTACACAACATGGTCATTGAGAATGGAAGTGAGATACAGCTATTTAGATATTAATTTTATAAGAGAATCATTACCTATACTTTTACTGAAAATAAATATCTTTGTTTTAATTATGTGTGTTGTGTATTTAACAATGAACTCCATATAAAAGGTAACTGCCCTAAAAGAACAAATATCAATATGGAAGGCACAAAGAAATTCACAATACAATGTATATGAGAATATATCCACTTCTTCACTGACCCATCTGTGATATACATATATTTATCATATCCTAAGTTTATCTGCAAGGACTCAGTAATGAACTCCTATATACTGTATCATGTGTTTAACAATTCTCCTCATTTCAGTCACTAGATCATTGATACAGAGATAGGCTTATGATCGTGGCACTGAGTGTAAGTATTTTAGTTAAAATTCAAGAGAAATTAATGAACAAATCTTCCAGGTGTTGGCTTTGGGTTTCAAAAACACTGCATTGGAAAAATAGTGAATTCAATTTCAACATGATTTCATGAAATATGGTAAAACTATAATGTTTAAAATTGAACCTTCAGAGCTTTCTTTATAAAATGGTGAATTACATGATGAACATTTCTTTAATGACAAAATTATTTACATGCAAAATTATTTACATGCATCTGAGTCTGAAAGGAAGGGGCGAGGGTGGGGGGTGGGGCTGAAAAGGTACTGTTTTCTGTTTTTCTAACAAATGTGTCATTTTCAATATATAACAACTCATGTTCAGTAAGAAAGTCTAAGACCAAAATGTTCCATTTTAAGAAAAAATTAAGTTACTTGTACAACTTCATGTAATGATCATAGTACTCATACTTTTGGATTTTAGGACTCCATAACATTAATCTCAGACAAGCTTTGAAATTTATAAACTTAAAGTGATGGGAGTGGTTTGTCAATGTCAAAAAGAGTTTGGAAATTTTGTAAACTATTCCTTTTCTTATGGTAAAGCATGCTTTTAATAAGAAGATAAATGTACTACTGAGTATTCTAACGATGTTTTCTGTTTACATAAGCATGTATATGTTTAAATTTAAATTCAAGTTTAATTTTGAATGTCAAAACAATTTGCAATTTATCAGTCTTTGACAAATTAAATTAGATATAAAGAAGTGGGGTTCGGAGAAGTGTTTGTATAGGGGGGTGTTCTAGCTATATGTCATAAGGAGGGGAGAGGTTCTGATTTAATAGGGAACCAAACAAACCAGGTTAAATCTGTACAAGGGTCTCCACTTGTTACCTGTTCATATAAAACCAATTCTCCATCTTTTTTGAGGTGGAGTTTGCCGTGCTATAGTTGTGTTTCTGCACCAGGTGGGGGAATTTATGATACATAATCTCAGAAACCAGTACTGAAAGTAATTAAGCAGAATGTAAAGCATATATTGCCAGTAAATGATACATATGTTATGTATGTCTGGTCAGATATGACGCTATCATAGTGAGTCTGCCACACATACACCTAAATTCCACTTGATTGACCTGAAATCAAAATTGTTCAAAATGATATATGAATAAAACATGATCTATTGGAAGCAATAATCCCTTCAATGTCTGAGTGGCCTTAATCTGTACTGACATTTGACCTTGACCTGAAACATAAAGTGTAATTTAAATCTCTTTCTGTTAAATTTAAGTAATGGCCAGTGAAATATTGTATGCTTTAACACTTACATACAGACAAGTCTTCAACAGTTACATACAGATAAACGTCTTTAACAGTTATAGCTACAGACAAAAGTCCTATACTGGATATACACTTGAACTCTGAAGAACGCTGGCATTTTCTGTTTTACAGTATAGCTTCATGACATTAAATCATACTCCTGACACAGAATTTATATACCACTGTCATCCTGACAACTGAATTGTTTCGATATCTAATGACCAAAATGCTGAGCTAAATGACTTTTTTTACACTCGGATTACTTGATATTTTACTGGAAGAGCTAAGAGCTATACATGGATTACATGCTATAACTGGAAAAGCTAGGAGTTATACATGCTATATAACAGCTAGCTATAGTTTACACTCAGGTGGTAGTACTTGACATCCATTTACTTTACTACACTTGGCTAGTATGGGGCCGCCCCACCCTTTTCTCATACACTGTACTGTGTGGAAATAATGACCTATGTCTACATCAAAATATTTTATCTTTAATACTTTCAAAAAAAAAGAGAAAAATTAAAACAAGAGGCCCATGGGCCACATCGCTCACCTGAGAAGCTTTGACCATTCTGTTCTTTACCAGATTTCACCCTTGTTATACATAATGCATCCCCACCCTACCCCACTGATCATAATTTAGACATTTTGAAATCTACACTACCCCATGATCCTTCCATGGGCACATATGTTTCAGCTTTTTTGGCCCAGTGGTTCCTGAGAAGAAGATTTTCAAAGATTTTTCCTATATATTTCTATGTAAAACTTTGATTCCCTATAATGGCCCCGCCCTTCCCCCGGGGGTCATGATTCCTACAATTTAGAATTAACACTACCCAAGAATGCTTCCACATAAGCTTCACTTTTTCTGGCCCAGTGGTTCTTGAGAAGAAAATTTTCAAAGATTTTTCCTATATATTTCTATATAAAACTTTGATTCCCCATTGTGGCCCCGCCCTCCCCCCGGGTGTCATTTTTTGAACAATTTAGAATCTACATTATACCAGGATGCTTCCACATAAGTTTCAGCAGTGGTTCTTGACAAAGATATTTCCTATATATTTCTATATGAAACTTTGATTCCCCATTGTGGCCCCACCCATCCCCCGGGGGTCATTATTTGAACAATTTAGAATCTACATTATACCAGGATGCTTCCACATAAGTTTCAGCTTTTCTGGCCCAGTGGTTCTTGAGAAGAAGATTTTCAAAGATTTTTCCTATATATTTCTATGTAAAACTTTGATTCCCCATTGTGGCCCCGCCCTTCCCCCGGGGGTCATGATTTGAACAATTTAGAATCTACACTACCCCAGGATGCTTCCACATAAGTTTCAGCTTTTCTGGCCCAGTGGTTCTTGAGAAGAAGATTTTTTAATGACCCCACCCTATTTTTGTCTTTTCTTGATTATCTCCCCTTGCGAGGGGATATGTCCCTTCATTTTAACAATTTAAATTCCCCTTTACCCAAGGATGCTTTGTACCAAGTTTGGTCAAAATTGGCCCAGTGGTTCTTGAGAAGAAGTCGAAAATGTGAAAAGTTTACAGACGGACAGACGGACGGACGACGGACAAAATGTGATCAGAAAAGCTCACTTGAGCCTTCGGCTCAGGTGAGCTAAAAAAAATAAATGAATTTTTGGAAAAGCACATTTCTAACAAAGTTCTAACACAGGAATACACACACACAAAACCTAGCTTACTAACAGTATCAAATTATTTACATTAGTTTTTAAGAAAAAAAATAAAATCAGTAAAAAAAATATATATATATCAACTGAGGTAAGTTTAATCAGTGCTTTCAAAAAGATGTGAAACATGGTACTTTGACAAAAATAGGGGAACCTTATGGAAGCAATTTTATCAAATTTTCTCCAACAAATATTTTGGCTGATAATTAACAATCATGATTTGATTCAGGTAAAAGTACCATATCTCAGCAGATTCTGAAAGCCCTGATTAATATGACAGATATGACAAAATGAGAGATCTAGCATGTCTTAATTGTACAGTAAAGGGTGACTACTCAGTACTACATTAGAACTGAGGGACAACATACAGTATAGATATAAACTACATTAATCCTAGACATATTTATAAGACATTGATACAGACGCTATCAGCTGCTACAAAGGGAATCACCTGGATATCAGTTACTATAGGAATTAATTCAGCATAGGGCAAACAGCATGAAAATAAACAAGATGGTTAAAATTTACAAATTAAAAGTAACCTCAAAGATATATATAAAATAAAATTAAAAGCTGTATATCTATAATCATAATTATAGACAAGAGTGTTAGTCCCAAATACTAGAACTTAAGTATGTGACATGTCACTGAGATTTCCAGGTGATGTTAAGTGAACTACAGCACCAAAAACCACAAAGGCAGCAGAGCATGACCTTCCTGTACCTGTTGAGGAGGAGCCAGTTCTCCCTCTTTTGACTGGTTGAACTCGCCGGGGTGTAGTTGTGCATTTGCACCAGCTGAGGAAAGAAATTCTGGACTATCTCGGCCACCAAAACTACAGGACAATCATCAGTGACAACCATCAATGATTTTTTTAATTTTTGTGTGACAAAGGATGAAATACTTTGGTTTCAGATTTCACAATAAACTGAATACATTGATTTTAGTGTATACCAAAAACATATTCCAGAATAGTTTCTTATACATATATAAACATTTGATTTTGTCAACCATAATTACAACATACTGAAATATAATAGTAAATTAGTAATGTCATATGAAAAATTGTACTGTAAAAGATCCAAATAAAAACATACTATGTACTAAAAATGACCCAACTCAATTTTTAGCTGAGGAAATAGGTGCATCGATTTACCTAAACTCGGCGAGATTCCTAAGGACTAAAATTTTGGTCTGGTGTCCCTATGACTCTCAGAGCAATCCCATACTACGTGATTCAGGATTTTTCATGGCTGTTTACTTTTCATTTATGACTATTACAAGCTTCGTGTGGACTTTCAGTAAGGCGTGGCATTCTCGACGTTACCTAAGTAAATTCTGAAATTTACACAGCTTCCCTTCACTGTTGAAATATACATATGATAGAAATGCGGATGAATGTCAACTGGTGTAGTAAATAGCCAATTAAAAGTTCTCTCACGGCACAGAGGTGGGGCACAAGTCGTCTCATCGTTGTAAACAACAATTTAAATAACCTATGTTATTAATTTATTAACCAATGAGAATCTACTAGTATTCGCCATTACGTAGCGCCGAGAATGCCACGCCCTACTGAAAGTCCAAACTAAGGGGAAAATCGTCCTAACTCTCCGACTCCGACGATGAAGAGTTCTGCATGATCTAAAGTACTATTTAATAGATCACTCCTATAAGAAATAGTTGCAGAATTAATTATTCGAAGCAGACTATTGCCGAACTCTTCAGTGTTCAAGGTTTAAATGAAAAGCAAACAGCCATGAAAAATAAACTCTATATTTTGCTGGATTTAAACCTTTTCAAGATAAGAAACGATTGTTTTATAGTGATAGAGACTTAAAAGGATGTCCAAGGGAATAAGTTGAAGTGGGCAGCTAATTCATTACAGCAGGTAGTGATTGAAACGAGCGGTTGAATTAGGGGCAAAAAAGCCCGAATCACATAGTATGAAATTGCTCCGAGATTCTTAAGGACACCAGACCAAAATTTTATTCCCTACGAATCTCGTCAAGATTATGATTTACCCAAATGAACCCAAATGCATTCAGAGATACCCTAATTTATAATTCAATAGCTATAAAGTATATGCAAAATATTCAATAAAAGAGAAAATGGTTGTTACAAAGCCATTATTTAACGTAGGTCGCGGGTTTACAGGGCTTTTAAAAGTGTTCGAAAACATACCATGAAAATTACCTATATAATTTCTCTACCTTTGATTTCCATTCTCTGAAAATTTTATAAAATTCGTCTGCACCGTTTTTGTGTAATTGAATTCCAAAGATGTCATTGTTGTAGTTACATTTTCAATGGTATTCTATTGAATTATATAGGAAAAACGTCGTTTTTGGCTTGTTTTCATTTTGATTTAAAAAATATCATTAACTTTTAAATCGTGCAGATGAATTTGTTTATCCTTTGGTATTTAAAAATAGAATTGATTTGAAATAAATCTATGTAAAAAAATTAATATGTGTTCGGGTTCATTTTTTCGTAATTTAATTGTAGATAATTGCTTTGATATTGACAAATGTAGCATTTTTAAAAACAACGTCATAAAATATCGTGACGTCATGCTTGGCGTTGAAATAAAACTAAAAAGAGCACAAAAAAAAAAAAAAAAAAAGTACGGATTTTAAGAAAAGGGAAATTCACGTATATCTGCTTTCAAGTGACCAGTATCATAATAATTCAATAAAATAACTATTAGACATTTTTCCCTTTCAGCTTATTTCCTCTAATATTAGTGAAAATTCACATAAAAGGCGTAAACCAACAATCAGTCCTTTAGTTTTTTTTTATATATATATTTTCTTTATGTGTTTATTTCTTACCGTTTCCGTTTTTTTTATTCATGCGCGGATTTTCACGCCAGAATTTGTAAAATAAAAGTGACCTTGTATTCCCCTCTGGAAAAGGCAGACTTCCCATCCCCGTTGAAATCGCAGATCTGTGATCTAAGTTTGTTTGAAAAGTCAAGGACTACTACCACCCCCAACCCCAACCCCGAAATATGTTTTTACGCTTTGTTTGGCGCAATCAACAGGCAGATTTTATTTTGTTCTTAGACTTTCAATTTATACATATAACATTAATTGTACTGAATGAATATGGAAAGCAATGCAGCAAATAAAATATGTACATGTAACTAAAAACAACGCATGCCGTTAGTTATACAGGCAATTGAGTATCGACCCCCCCCCCCTTTCTGTTTTTTCTGGGGGTTTTCCTATTTTAGATTTTTAATACCTATTGCATGTGATTAATAATGTAACCCTTTTATCTCTTTACGCTGTTTTTAAATACATGTTTTTCGTTTTCGACTGATACATAAGAAGAGACAGCTTGCAATTTGTTCTTAAAAATCTCCATGCCTCACTTTATCTTCACTTGCATGATCACTATCTAATACGTAGATAATCATGGAATATGCAGGCATTGATAAATTTGAAAAACCCTCTTCTTCCTTTTCAGATTTCCATTTATATAATTCTTTATGTGCCTCCGATTAGTAAATATTTCGATTAAATCAACATGCACATATAGGGTGGAGTTGAAATTTTAAAAAATGGAAAACGTTTATTCCCCCCCCCCCCCCCGCGTTAGGAAGTAAGAAATGGAAAGAAGGGAGGGGGTCATATCCTACTTGTCTGTGGTTATTTACAAGAGGTCAATGCCGTTCAAAAATGTATATTTCAGTAGTATTACCCCGGTAGTGCCTTAGCAGTTTTTAATTTGTGGTCAACCTGTATATAGATTCGTCCGAGATTAGCACATACCGTTTCATAAATATTGAGTTCGACTTTCCATCGGTGAGCAAAGTTTTGACGCTGTTTACGGAGATAAATGAAAACAAAGACATGCATTCCATAAATGGTTGTGTAGATAAATTATTGTAGAAGACAATGGTAATAAACAGTTTGTTAGTGCATTTCCACTGAAAGTGTACACTAAAATCACAAAATGACTTTTATTTTTCTTTTAATATGAAAAAAAACACACATACCTAATAATACTCGTTTATTATTAGGTATGTGTATATTTTTTTTTTTGTGTGTGAAAGAAAAATAAGTAACGTCAGGTGCCTGTGACTAAAATGAGTGCTTTTCTGAGGAGGGGGTATCGAGTGTAATTCGGAGTTAGATAACCTGTTTTATAATTATACACATTTAATACATGTATTTAATATTTATAAATTATACATGATACAAGGGTTAAAATTTATTTCGAAACAAGTACATGTGCTCTCAGAATAGACCCGAGAAGATGCAATTAATAACACATAATGAAACGCTTTCTAACACTTTCAGTGTTGGTCATTGGAAGGCCATCCTTAAAAAAATTTTTTTTTGCGGTAACGCGCCTCATCATTTTAGGTGTGGGTAGGTAGGTAGGCTTATTTTTTTTTTTTTTGGAGACAAAATGTCAGAAATAAATTTCGATTATATAGAGGTATTAACTATGTCTTAGATTTCACTTTAAGTTACTAATCAAACAAGAAAATTAAGGCATTCTTAATGAATCCAATCTTTTATTGTTCAAATATCAGAACACATCAGTTCTTTTTTTAAAAACAGCGTAGGTGCAATGGAGACGTAAAAAAATGTCAATTGGATAAAAATAGAAAATGGATACGTAAAAAAAAAAAAAAATTCTTTGAACCGATAAAAAAAATCCAGTAGGGTGGATTTTGGTGAGTCGGTCGCGTTACCGCAAAAAAACAATTTTTTAAGGATGGCCGAATCAAAATAAGCCTTCATTATTTTTTTATAACTTCAGCCTGTTCTATGAATATTGTTACACTAAACTACCCATTTTTACAAAAGTTATAGCTAAATAATGCACTGAATTTTTCCCTTTCTCACCGTGACGTCATAATCAGATGTGCACAATAAAGTCGCCCAAATCATATAAATTGCGTACCCAGTTTTAATGATGTCAGCAAACCCGCGACCTATGTTAAATAGATATGTTTACAAAATTTAAATACTTAGAACGTATCTGTTTAAATAATGTTGCCCACCTCTTGCCATGTGGAGGCTACCCATATGAAGAGCCATCATTTATGTTTTTAAAAAATATGCCAAAGTTCTCCAAGATTTATTCATTTCAAAATGTCAAAATAGAAAAACCAGTATAAGTCATTTGGGTCGGCATATGAGTAATAGATGTGCTGGAAGAAACAATAATTTTGTTCACATTTAATTTTCTTAATCAACAAGAATGTTGATTTTTTCTGATTTTTTTTACCTATCTACCGACCCAGTTCTTTTAGCCTGATCTGAGTTGGGAGAAGGCAAACAAACATTATTGTTAAGATGGCCTTACTGTATAATTTTTTAATTCATTTATGATAGGAGCACCTGTCTGACCTGAAACAGAATTCAACTGAGAATAGTTGACACTTTATAAAAGATCGCTTTTAGCACTTTAATTATCAAATATACCTCCATCAGCAAAATCTCTTGCTATGTTTTTCTTCGGTCTGGAAAGAGGGATGCTGTCAATCCATGTGTAAAGATTCTCCAACTCTGCATCGTCGAAATAATCCAGGCCGGATTCAACTGGGTGGATTTTATCTACAGACATTGTTCTTTTACACTTAGTTCTATGAAAATGTTACAATCATGACATACTGTATAGATTTTACAGAAATAAATGACGTCTTTTATCGCTAAATACACAGAAGATCGTAGAAAGCGTCCATGACTGTTTTGTTGTCAACGAATTTCCCGTCATGCATCATAAATTCCGAAAATTGTCTACGTTGATAAGTAGTCCGTAAAAAAGTCGAATTAGGTATTACACTTCAAAAAACGCATAGTTTATCCTAAAATAACAGTAAGTCAAGTTATTCATAGTAAAAATTCATATTTTATCTATTGTTGTAAATATTTCATCTGCAATATGCTGGCATGGTTTTGTTATTTTTCCGAGTTGATGAACGAGCTATCCTGTATTTCCCGTATATGGGAATTGTGGGAGTTTCGTTGCGACGGACGCTTTATTATGATTTTGTGTATTTAGTGATAATCTTGTCCTCCTTTCTTATATACAGTGTAAGTAAACTTAATTTTTCATATATACCTTTGCTATCTTACACATGTTATTGACTAATCAAATAATGACGCCGGGGAACCTTCAGATTTTCTTAAAATAGATTTTATTTGGACAGAATAACACCAATTGATACAGTTATCATGGTCATGCCTAATTGAAGACCTACAGGTAATTGAAGACCTACAGAAGACCTACGGAAGACCTACAAAAATGGGGGATATATACAGCAAAACTGATATAATATTCTGATTAAGCATGTCTTAAATATATAAAATACACAAAAAAGTTTTATAAAAAGAAGTTTTAAAGAGTATTTTTTAAGCTCGGTAAGGGGAACTATTTCTTCTCTCAGAAGACCTACAGCAAGAACGATAACTCGCGTAAATAACAAATCAGCTGTTCACCAAAACATCAAGAAAATGTAATTATCAGAAAAATGTAAATAAAAAATAATGTTAAAAAAAATCATTGGAGATACTTTATATATACATCAAAGATAAAAAAAAAAATATTAATAAAATGAAATATTCAGTCAGAAACAATTCTTTTTTGTTAAAAAAAATTATTTATTAAAATCAGTAAAATTGTAAACACTGTACATAATTTATAATACCATAATATATTATGTCAATCATAAAATCATTATAAATACATACACTTGTATATACATGTACGTTATATTTAGTATTCTATATGTGTTTATAAATAGATCAGTATAATATTTAGTTCAGGTTTGAATTGTTGATCATTAATAAAAATTCATAAATGATTTGTGTTCTTGTTATTAATAATACCTAGTAATGTCATTTATAACATCTGGAAATTTTTATAAGATTTGCATTTATGTAGAGAATGAAAATTTTAAAATTGCAGTTAAAAGAATTTGAAGTAATTTTTCAAGAACATAGACATAATCACTTTCAAAATCTTATTTCCCCCGAGTCAAAGCATCATTATTTTTTTTTAAAATATGCATGCATTTCTTATGTGTGATAACATGCGTGTTTATTATTTTATTCAATTTTAAAAAGTGTGTATTTTCTTTTAATTTAATTATTGAATGGTATACCTGGTATCTTCAAGATTTGATATAATGTACATGTATATTTTGGCTCAAAATGTAAAAGAAATAAATCCTTATGTTTCATATTATAGTGCCTATTTCTTGGCATACAGCATGTTATCTGGAAATATACATTTAATTAAGTTATTAAATATTCCTCGTGAATGTCATATAAATGTGTTATATTGAAAAAAGATGACCATTTTGAATATTAAAAAAAAAATTCAAAACGTAATTCATTTTAGTATAAAGTTATATTCTGAATAAATGCACAATAATTTTATTTGTTTATTCTTGCTAGCATTTTTAAGATATAAAATAAATATTTTTTTTATATCTTTGCTCTGTTGACTGCAAATTAACATTCATCAGAGCAAGTGGGATGTGTTGATAATTGCAATCAAAACACGGATATATCCTCAGGGTGTCTGTGTATAATACAACAAATTAGTGAAGATCGAAGCCCTTAGTACAGAGTAATATTGGTTAATTGAGACAAATCCACAGCATACATATCAATAATTTGAACTTGAATACTTAATATTTATCCCATAAAACATATTAAAAGAATTACAATATTTATTAAATATTAACTATAGATTTCAAGTAGAATATTAATTTGATAAATGAAATAATGATAATTATTGATATTTTTACCTTCATCAAAATTCATCATTCAGCTGATTTCTTTATCATAATTCATAATTAAAAAACTCAACAAAATCATTTGCATTTTTTTTATTATGTCATATACATATATAATTCTTCCTATAAACTTCACATAAATGAGCGTGTTGGTGTTTACAAGACAAGTCAGCCAGAGTTATCGTTCTTTCCGTATCGTCTATAGTTCCCCTTACCGAGCTTAAAAAATACACATTTAAACTTCTTTTTATAAAACTTTTTTGTGTATTTTACATATTTAGGACATGCTTAATCAGAATATCATATCAGTTTTGCTGTATATATCCCCCATTTTTGTAGGTCTTCCGTAGGTCTTCTCTAGGTCTTCAATTACCTGTAGGTCTTCAATTAGGCAGGCCGGTTATCATGGCTGACGACGCGGAGTTGGAGGAGCTTTATGCTTGGGTCGACAGTATACCACTCAGCAGGCCAAAGAAAAACATATCTAGGGACTTCTCTGATGGAGGTAAGATCCTTCAAATGACAAATTAAAGATAGCCCAAAGAAAACAAGGAGACTTCAATTAAATGGCAAATTTAATGTTGAAATCTGGTACTGCTTCTGCTAACTACTGGTTGTGGCAGTTTTATTTTATCTGTAAATATTCATCATATTGCTGAACAGAATAAGTTCATACTTGTCAGTCATGTTTTTGCACTGAAATACATTCACAAATACATCTACATCTACATAATACAGCGTTCCATCAAACTTGATGATAATATGCTAAATAGTTATAGTCATAAAAATAGTTTTTGAATTTTGACTCCTGGTGCTTCCAAGTAAGGATTTTTATTACTCTTCTACATTTCATAAAAAAGAATCCATTTCAACTTCTTGGTATACTTTCTTTATTGATGTTAATCCCCTACATAAGTATATAAACATTGTTACATACATGATAATGCCATTTAGCTGTCCAAAAGCATGCAGTAAGATATCTGCTACATGTATACTTATATTTATAAATGTAGAACTAGAAATCTAAAATGGATGTTACTACTTATAAGTTATTCTTGGAATTGCTCATGCCTCAATAAAGTCCGTAAATATTTTTTATATTTTTATGTGAATTAAATTCATAATGATTAAGGCCTCTGAAAAGTTTGGACCAAATCTGTTGAGTGATGTGGAGAATATCTATGGCACGCCAAATTCACGAAAATGAGCTAAACATAGTTTCACAGTCGATAAACTAGGTTTAACCGTTTATCGGTTGTAAACTATAGTTTACAGACTGTAAACTATAGTTAACAACGTTAATCTATATTTTACATCTGTAAACCATAATAATAATCTATGTTTCACAACCGTAAACTATACTTAACACCGAAAACAATCATTTTCAATTGCAAAACATAGATTATCTGATAAATACAGCTTCACGATTTGTAAACTATAGTTTATACAAACCGTTAACTATAGTTAACGATCTGATAAATATAGTTTCACGATTTGTGAAACTATATTAACAACTCTTAACTATAACTATAGTTTACGATTGTTTTCGATTGTAAACTATAGTTTACAAATGTGAATCTATGTTTATCAACAAAATCTGTTGTTAACGCTTATTACAGACAGATAAACTTAGATTAGCATTCGTAAACTATAGTTAACAACCGTTAAATATAGTTTTACAGATGAAAACTATACTTAACAAATCGTTAAGTATAGTTTACGTTTTGTAAACTATAGTTTACAGTCGATAAACCTAGTTTATCAATTGTGAAACTAGGTTTATCTCATTTTTGTGAATTTGGCGTGCCATGAATATCAATAAAGAAACATTTAATCTTAGAGTGTCAGGATTTGACAGCATTATAGATTAACTGCCTGCCAGTTTAGATAGGTATATATAGAGTTTGTTTGTCATAAATGCTTGCCTTCTAGTTTTTCATGGCAAGAAATTTACTGATCCATTTTTTTTTTCATTAAATTCGTTGTAAAACCAAAATATCAGAATATCAGTCAAGAGGGACATAATGAGTTTGCAAAATGTGATGTCATTATAAATCTACAGGCTCACAGTATATTTATTTTATTTGGACTGTAAGCCCTGTTCTAGTTAACCTTGTTTGGTCAATGATTTTTGGTGTGCCTAATAGAAATGTACATACAATAATTCACTACTATTAAAACTGACTTTTTTTGTAATGAACTGACATTATGGCAATAATTAAGCACGGAGTTTAGCAAAGCTTATCATACTGCTATTGCAATTTCCCTTCAAACCTCCATTTTACACATCTTATTTGTCTTTGTATCCAATCAAAAAATATTCTTTAGGCTTTTTGAAAGCCATTGGATAGACTGTATTAATTTGGTTTGATAGAGAACATACATAACACTGTCCAGAGATCAATTTACTGGTCTTCCTCATAATTCTGGTCAGATTCAATGTTCTTTTACACCAGGGGACAGTTTTGACCTGTATAGGTAGAAAATCATTCCAAAACCAAAATATTTAATCTTGGATAATAACCAATTATGACAGTATTTTATAAAGTGTTTTTCATGCAGAAAGCATGACAATCATGGCTTAAATGACAGCTATTTTGCAAACTCATCCATGGAACACTAGCTTCACTCAGATAATATCCACTACCTTGCTGGAAAAAGCATTAATTGATATATTATGGAATCACTTGCTCAAGTCATTCTATCATACTATCAATGTAGTCATGTAGTTTAAAGACCAAGAACATGGATTCAGAATATTCGACCCCATGAATATTTCATATATAACAGCACAGCAGCACTAACTTAGTAATATAAAATGTAACATGTAATCTCATTGGTTGTTGTTTAATCATAATTGAAAGAAGACATTAATTTTGAATTTATTACAATTTGATCATGAAAACAAAGCAGTGATGCATTAGATACTGTAAATTGGCAAATATTCACGATGGTTTTAATTTCGCTCTGTTCGCGATTTATAATTTTTCCGCGAAATTAACCCCTTCGTTAATGTTATTATTTGTTTTTAAATCATTTAAATACTTAAACGAAATGTTGAATTAATTTCTGGCAGCGTGAAATTAAAGCCATAGCAATTGGTACTTTTTGAGATATCGTGATATTTTAACACCGTAGAATTAAAACGACTTACAGTAGTCTAATGCTTTTCCATGTTTAGTGTTTTGGTTGAATTGAAATATTGTTTGATTACCATGCTTACTGATGGTTGAAATATGAATGGTAAATGTGAGATGTGAATGGTTGATGTTACTACTGTAGTGTTGGTAGCTGAGATTATCCGCCATTTTAAACCACAGTTGATACAAATGCACAACTACTCTCCTGGGAGTGCGCTAGGTATTAAGAGGGATAACTGGAAGGTCCTCAGCAGGTACAGGGCACATGTCTCCACAAACTACATTGATGTGACTCATATCAACGTCTCATTCAGGCATTCATCATCTTGACATAATCCAATTCCTTGACTACTTGTACTTATAATATTAATAAATATTATAGGCTTTCTTTCATTGGATTTTCCAAACAAGAAATAATCAATCTTTAACTTTCTACGTATATAACTCATCTGTAAATAATTAATTCCAAAAAGTGATACAAATGATAGGATGTGATTGATCCAGATGATGAATGTATGGAACAATGCAGTGTACAGTACAGTTCTTGTGTGTGTCTGCTGTGCTAGTGAGTTTCTCTACAGAGATGTTCAAATCCAGAGATAGATTCCTGAATTTATCAACTTATAATTTGAAAGCAATGATCAGGTGGTATAAATATTTGAGCATCTCTGTACTCTTCTATAATCTTTTCTTTCTCTCTAAAGCTCTGGAATTAGTCTGTAATATTTGGTTGTTTTCAGTCTTGGTAGCCGAGATTATTCACAATAAGTTTCCTACTCTGGTGGACCTACACAACTACTCCACTGCCAATTCTACAGACAAAAAATTGCTCAACTGGAAAGTTCTCAACAGGTAACTGTACTGGTGTCTGGTCCCATATAATCTGTCAGATTTTATAAAATACCCTAATTGGGTGCCAATTATTTAATATTTTATATTCTTGTGATTGTCCATCTAACAACCAGTTTTGTGTTAGATCACCCAAATATACTGGTATTCTATGAAATAAGTTCGGGCATTTAATAAAAGTCACATCATTTCTAAATTGAATAGAATGCACTGAATAGATAATATCACAGGCACTTCAAATTTTAATTTCTTATTTAACCAAAACTATTTAAATGAAGCTCATATGAGTAAAATTAAATAAGGATTCATAAAAGTTTCCATTTCAATGAGATTTCCATATAAGCAAGTTCTTTATAACCAAGTTATACTGTATAGGTAAATGGCACAGAATACTGAAGATAAAAAGATACAGGCAATAGTTTTAAGGAATGAAACCTCGGGATCCCAACTATATAAAAAGTAGTGCTTTTCTTGCCTCCTACACAGCTCTGATCTATAAATAGTGCTACATACCTGGCGGCATTCCCTCCCCCAGTGTTCTCCTCGTTACTCTAACTCTGAACTGTACAAGAGCATGCATGCTGCTTGATTAGCTTAAATGTTACAATTTTTTTTTTTAATTGATAAAAAGTCTAGAATTGTTCTTTCTGATTTTCCTATCTTGCCTTTATGAATTGAATGTACAGACTATATCACTTTCTTTTTACTTATATGCACTGATTTTTTTAAAACAATATTTTCAAATCACATATCAATTTTCTACAATCACATTAAAATGCATGAGTGATATGAATTAAGCTTTCAGTGACAGAGTATGGGTTTAACTCATTGACAGTATTACTAAGATAATCATATTACTATTAGATTTATAAGTTAAGACCTGTCTGAGCTTTGCTACATAAGGTGAAGCAATCTATGTGAGTAGTTTCAAGGATGAAATATATGGAGATAACAAACAGTATTCAAGCTCAAAAGTCCATTAAACAATAAAAAATAGGAGCAGAGCAAACACAGACCTCTGAAACATCAGAGGTGGAACCTGGTGCCATTGAGGAGTGAGCATCCCCTGCTGACCAGTCATGATCGAGAAATAACAGAAAAAATTGTTGTCAATTCAGTGTGTAAATAATGGACAAACAATTAGTATGAAAAACATCAGTCAGCATTTGACTCAATGATATATTGTATTTGCTGACAAGGTCATTGTATCAACCATAGAACTTATGAAGTGATGTCTTAAAACAAGACTGCTGATATTCTTGTTTCTTCAACTTGTTTGTATAAATTTACCTCGTTTTAGAAATTGTTCTTACTTATTAAATCAACTAAGGATCTGATTTGAACTGGACTGGATACAGATTCTTGAGAGCAATCCAACTATTTTAGAAGTGACCTTGAACTTTCAACACCCTTCCCCCTTTTTGTTTGCTTGAGCAGTCAGCTCATTTATTAAAGAGATAGAGAGTGTATTAAATTTTACAAAACCATATAAAATAAAACATAGTAACTTTGTTCTGATAAAATGTCCTAAATGATAGTCCAATTTTCATCTTATCCAAAGCTTTCTGATCTTTACTTTGGTTTTAACCAAAACCATAAATATTTCTTATGGGCATATGATACTTAGCATAGTCCTAAATTAAATATGTATAGTTCATAATCAAGTTGTCCTTTCTTTTACTGTAATAACAAATATTTAGTTAGCTACATTTACATGTATTTAGACACCCTCCTCTCAATATAAATGTACACTGTATGTCGTGTATGTGAACTGTAAATAGTGTAGGACTATGACTATTTATATATGTTTAAGCTCTAGGCAGTATAAATGTTACTGAATTCCAGTGAGTATATTGCAATGAAAAGGGTTTTAAAAGAGATCGATACATTTGAGCAAATGGTGCTTAAATTTTATATATTAGAACTATTTCTTCAGGATTATGATATATCAGAAAACATTTTGAATACAGTTTAATATTTTCTAATTAAAAGTTTCATTTTTAAAATTTTATCCAGAAAAGTTTTGAGCAAACTAAATTTTACCCTGGGTGATGATGTCATAGGAGATATTATCATGGCCAAACCTGGCGTGATTGAGAAGTTCCTGATGATGCTCAGACGCAAGCTCGAGCGAGCCGAATGGGAACTGACCAAGCAACCTCTACAGTCGACACACCGAGCCAAAGGTGGACGTCGGCCCGAGAGTGACAAACCCGAGGCTGATCAGTATATGGGTCAGTGTCTTAGAAATTCTTTACTGCATGTTTACAAAGAATAGGTTTGATGAATAAAATTTTAAGGGGCCTCTTAAGGCTCTTTGCTTTAGATATTTCAGTTGTTTATCAATAGTAAAATCTCTAATCTTTCACTAACCTTTAATTACATACAGAATTGTTTCTTTATAGCTGTTCCTGGTCGGGGAGTAGAGAAGAAATCTCAGAACCCCACAAAAGGAGGAGGGTAGGTACATTTTTTGACAAATATTGTTTATGTGTTCACTTTAACTCAATATATATACCGGTATGTGTTCAGTTTATGTTTGTTGCTTTAAACACTGTGTTAAATTTAAAAACTCTTTTGAGGAAAATGTTCCTTCAAGTAGCTCTGTGACCTTACGTGGTTTATAAATCGTAAACTGCCCCAAGTTATGTTATATCGTATAATATAAGTTGAAATTAGCTTCATTCCTTAAATATTCTCAAAGTACAAAAACAAAAATTTATAGATCTAAAATGTTTTTTACTAATAACTTTATTTGACACCATAAATAGAAGTTTCATGGAAAAATTATTAGTGCATGTGAGAGATTTTAATAAGACAATGAGAATAGTTTATTTCCATTTGTAATTGTATGGCCAATTGGCCTCTTGTTTTCAAGTTAGTAAAGCAAATGCAGAATAACTGACATTGTTTGTTATTTTATTAGGTTTAATACGATGTCCTATTATGACAATGGACTGTATGAAACCTCCCAGTACACTCAGTGGTCTTATGCACTGCGATCATGTTAAGTAAAGAGCATGTCTACTAATGATCAACTGAAAGTATTTAACTGAAAGTAAAAATCTAATTCAATGGCTTTGTGTATTAAAATGTTTATATGCTGTGTGCATGGAAGAAACATGGAAAGCTTAGAAATAATAAAAGTCATCATCTGCTTGTCAGTTTTACAATACTTTCATCAGAATTTCCATATTTTACAGTCAGTCTTTAAAGAATATATTTAAATCACAGTGTAAAAAATATTGGAGGTCATTGATACATTTAATCAAGTTCATCAAAACTATGTTATACATTGTTCTTGAACATTTCTTCATTAGTATTTCACATGCATGCACTTCTTACAAAGCATAGTACATGTATTAGACATTCTATAACTTGTCTAGGTATAACAACAGACATTAGTATACAAATTATCTCTGTAAACTAAAAAGGCAACAATTTTGATAGAGTTTGGTGATTTTCAGAAATGTAATGCTGCATGCTGAAAGCAAGGAAGTGATAACATTAGAATCATTGGCCAGGTATCAGACAGGGAGAACCACTTTATCTTCATTCATCTACAGTGTCTGTTTTGAACTCTTTTTTCACCTATCCTATAATCTGCAACAACTTCCTGTATTGTTTTATTTATATATATATTTTTTAATTTCCCTGCTGTCATATATAGAAAAGAAGTATTCTTTGTGTTTGAAATTTTTTAATGGAATACAGATTTAATCTTTGAATTTAAATTTCTCTAATGAGATGAAGTGTGATGTAAAAACAGAGTAAATTAACGGTAACTGTTAAATTCCCAATTCAGTGATTCTATTTTAAAATACATTTCTAAACAGGCATGACATAAGAAAACAATATTTACCAATTTTTAACCATTTCACCATAATAGAAACCTTGATACGTGTAGGTACAAAACTATTTTAATTTCATTTATCTTTATTATCACACACACATGGATATTGAATGATGCTCCCTTTTGAACATTGAGCTCGATCATTTCATGATCACATAAGAAAACCAGCAAAATTAAATTTTAATAGCTTAAAAATTTATGTGTAAATAAAGTTGTAAGTCTGGTTTTGAAGTCTTTTTCTAAATCATTGCAAACTGCTTCAACACTGACATTGGTGTCGGGTGTCATGGCATCTGGATTTTAAATTGTTGTGATTTATCAGAGCCTTGGGTTTCTATAACAATAACAAGTATTGTTCATTCAATCAAAATAAAAACAAGGAAATTTTGCCCCCTTTTCATTTTTTGCCAATTTCACCCTAGTCATCAGTTTCGTGATGGGGGGGGGCTAAAACTGTACAGAAAGAGTTGCATGTATTGTTCTTTTAATACATGATGAAGGGTGGACTTGTTTGCAAATTTGATAAGGCAAAATGAACCCTGTTTTAATACATGTGTATATAAATCAGGATACAATGGAGGATGGGTGAAAGCATTGTGCAATATAAAGTGTACATCTCCTAACAATAAATAACTAACCTTTATATTGTATATTAATTTGTCTTTTTATAGTTATGTGTCTGAATATTCTTTATTAATTTAATTTGTCAATTTGTTGTGTGTCGGAGTATCCTTAATATTTTATATCACTTTATATATATATATCTGATAAACCTTTTTTATAACCATTGAATAATAAGTCAAGAGGGAAATATACAAGTGAACATGCAAGCAAGAATCAATTGAAATTACATGTATAGATAATTAATATATTATTAAAGGTTTCATTTAATTTCTTATCCCCCTCTAATCTGAGGTTTACATTATAGATATTTGGGTTTCATTACAGGCCTGATTATTATCCTGACCCCCCTCGACAGAAAACCCTCGGATCTAACAAACTAGAGGGAGATAATGTCCCCAGGATACTATTTGAGGAAAAAGTTCAGGAAAGTTTGACCAAAGAAGAAACCATTCAGGTCAGTTCTAATCAAATCAAACATGTTTTGAAATCTCTTTGTTTTTTAGCTCACCTGAGCCAAAGGCTCAAGAAAAGTAAAGTTATATGCTATATTAATACAGAGGCATCCTCAAGTAGTATAAAATTCAAACCCCCACCCTGGTAAAGTTTTCAATACTGAGCTGATTTGTGGTTTTTCCTAGCAGATTTGCTCAGGTGAGCAATGTGGCCCATGGGCCTCTTGTGAATGATAATATATTAATTGTTGTTTTGTTTGAATGTCTCTGCTAATTGCACTGACAGATCCTGAAGTTTATTAAATGTTTGACATCATACACAACTGATATTCATTTTCCATGTAAATTTTTAGTAAGAAATATAATTTTAAAGCTTAAAACTTTTACTGCATTTCAACAGTTGACAAAATCCAATCCCCTAAACTAATTTTGGCTCTTTGGCTGATATAAGAATCTTGGGATTATATTGAATGCTGTCATTTAAATGAAATCTTAACATTTTAGATCTTACAAGCAAAGATAAAAAGAATGGAACATTTGATACACCTGAAGGATGTCCGAATTGATGACCTTCAGAACCGAGTAGAGACCATGCGACCAACAGGAAGCATTGTACGGCGATGAACCTAAAATCTCTGTAAAAAAAAGTACCATACAGAATATTTATGTCTAGAATCTCTGTATGCTTACCCTAAAATGTGATCTTGTATTGGTAGCTTATAAATCCAAACTGTATATCTTTAGAAAAATGAAGGGATTTGGAAATGTGCAATTTATGTTAATATGCAAGAGTTCAGCAAAGATTCAGTCTCTGAACAGACATATTCAACATTCTGTTATAAATTAACTCAATTCAGCAAGTTAAATTCCTGTCAAAATTTTCTCAGCATGAAGATTTTTCTAAAAATGCTTTTTTTTAAACTGAATAATATTGTATTCTAAACATGTAATGAAACCAAAGACTCTATGTGTTTTGTCTTTGTTGTCACTGCTTATGGTGTAGATCTTAATTATACTGTACTTGTAAACCATGTAAACATGTTTATTAAAATTATCAACTTGTATCCAAATAAAAATTAATACATATTAAATTGTATCAACCACTGAGTTTTGATTCATCATGCATATTGATTTATGTTTAAAAGAGAGAGAGAGAGAAACAATTTTTTGAACTTACATTTGAATTTACATTTATGCATGTTTCTCAATTTCAAAACTGTCATTTGATGATGATAACTCAAAATCTTTAAAAAAAGTTCTAATAAATTTGCCCATTATACAGTTAATTAAGTTCATTGTATCTAATAATGTACCAGGGGGTAGATCGGTACGTATTTCTGTAGAAGAACCTATAATTTGTTGTTTATATGAAAGAGCAATTCTTCCTTTTTATGTCATTCATCTTGAATAAATAAAATGAATATGTATGAAATTCAATGTCAGTTGTTTTTTTTTTCATCTTCATAATTTTATATCGAATTAATAGCCAAAATATATTTCTGCACTTAAATTTTGCCATAAGATAAATATAAACAATGAAGTACATGCCAATTGATATTGGCTGAACACTTAAAACAGTTAAAGATTACAGCACACATTAGACATTACAATTTTGTAGTCTACATTAACTGTGTTCACTGTCCCAGAACAAATCTTTTAACCAACACAAAAGAGTTATACATTGCTATGTTTTCAACATTTTTTTCAACAGAAAATTTTCCCCAGAAAAGAAAATCTGCAGTACCAAAACTTTGCATAAACACTTTACAGATATATTGTATCACTTCTTTGATGAGAAAGACACCTATTTAATGAATGATAAATGAATTTTGAAGTATGTGCTTTCAATCTAACTATAATTGGACCTGACTTTTAATAAGATTGGTGAGCAATAAGTCATTTTCTCTTTGAGAGTTGTCTTTCTTACCACATTGCTGTGAAAGAAGAAGGTATTGTGCCCTAAAAATTTAATGTTCTTAAAAAAAGTTATGAAATTGGCTATAACAATAGTTGAGTAGATGAATATGATAAATCATTAAAGAACATGGCACGAAGGAGGACTATTGTGGAAATATGACGTCACTAATTTGGTACATTTCTAGGTTTAATGTAGAAAAGCCTCAGAATGACTCATTTTTATGCTTTTTTTTCTTTAGAAAATAGTGTCTGCCACTGTCAACCGCTTCAATTTTTGGATATATTGTGTAAAATGCTTTGAAAAATCACATATCTCAAAATCTTTGTGGGCGACGGTGGCAGAGTATGTTTTGTGAAAGAAAATTCCACTAAAAATTGATGTACGTCTTCTGCAACCTTTTAAGAAAATACGGGAAAATGCACAAGTATATCATGTCATAATTAGCATTTAGGAGGTCAAATGAGAAAAACGATTTGTGTATTCTTACTGCGTGGAATTCCTATGATTCAGAAAGAGTAAATTTTAATTTCTTGTATCACTTTCATATTTTTGAAAAATACAGGGCTTAATTTGTATTGATCGAAACTATACCTTGTTCTTAATTTGGCTGAATTTCAGTCAATGATTGCATACGAACATGTGGAATTGGCAATCATAAAAGAATCAAATGGAAGAAGTAAAGCAAAAAGAATATGGAATGTGTCGCTCTACTGTCTTTTAAAAATCTATTCATTGTATACCTACAATGAAGACCTGTAATGTATTTGTTTACCAATGAATTACTTCCCTTGTTTTTCTATTATAACCCCAAAAAGTATAATTATTAATTTGTTTTTTTATTTTTTTTCTAAATTAAAATTACAATATTAATTTTCATTCAAAATAAATACTCATTATTTTATAACTTGTTTATAAAATACTTATTTTATGCCATTTTTTGGTTTAAACATTTTCAAATATTTTTATGTTTTACAGTCAGTAATCAATCCAGTGGTAACGTGTGCATTGGCTGCTTCACGACGGACGAAAACAGATAGCATATAAACCGCCTTAGCGGGCATCTGAGTATCTAAAACAACTAATTGTTAGAAATTTTGATGTCCCCGTTTAGGGGATAAATAACGAAAATATAAAGGATGGAAAAAAACTATGAAAAATGTAAATCTTGATTACTGGTTGAGTAGGGACTGGCTAAAGTACCGTTTCACGTGTTTTAAGAACCTGAAATCAAGTTTATAATAATATAAATATATATTTAAAAAAAAAAACAAACAAACATTATCTTTTGTGGTAAAAGGGGATTGATATAAAAGCTTCTAAAATCCCGAGTAATATGACTGGACACTTCGATCTACATCGTACTTGATTACTGCAGTGTACTGAATTATTCCCCTTGTTTTGGAATTGTAAACTCCAAAATTCTAATAATCAATCTTTTCTGATAAAATTATTGATATAAAATATTCAAGATTTTGAATGTTTTGAAAAGAAATCCACTTTTGAATTTAAATATTTAAGTAAACCTTTTATTATGTTAATTTTTTCAAAAACATTTTTAAACGCTTTCATGTTTTATATAATATATATTTCATGCTTTGCTTATGTAATATTCCTTTCATACGCACGCACGTACAAATGGTCTAGCATTAATCCGCCTTGGCGGTCTTCTGCTAAATTGTACAAATAAATTTTGACGTCCTCACATGGGGACAAAATAGCCTATAAGATAGTGAAATAGCAAGACACATCAGCTAGATAAGTAATATGATGTACTGAAGTGTACTAGGGATAGTGTCCCTATAGTAAATGTTAACCCCCATGACCTTTGATTGGATACCAAAAACTTTGACCCTATTACCTTGATCTTGGCGTTTCACTTATTATTATTTTTTTTTTTTACCTTAACCTTGGCCTTAACTTTTGAACAGTTACTCATATGACTTTCATACTTCGTATTGTAATGTTTTTGCTTTTATATAAAAATGCTATTGTTATAAATAAAACAGAGATAAGAATTTTGTTTATTTGATAAGCCCTAACCATGGTAACTGATTAGCGCCCTTATCTTGGAAGTCTAATTAGTGTCCTAATTAATATGGCGCTTATCAGATGCTAAATGTATCAAGTGTCTTGATACCTAACAATGGTGCAGAGGCCCTAATACTTGGAGCCGATTGCCCTAATAGGTGCCCTAATGATGGAGCCGATTGCCCTAACAGGGTGCCCTAATGATGGAGCCTAACGCCCTAACAGGTGCCCTAACGAGGGAGCCTAACGCCCTAACTAGGTGCCCTAAATCACGTTAGGTGTCAGACAGGGTATATAAGGAGAGAGAGTTAGTGAGTTGATATACATAGCTTGGAATTGATTTGTAAAACTACTCTTGAATATTGTTAATACACTCGTTGAAACGAACTTTGTCGTTGTTCTTATGTTAGATCTATAAAGATCTAGAGTTCCTGAATTTATACACGGGATCCACAATATTTTGTGACGCGGGTAGAAACAAACACCCCATGGAGAGAAAAACGTTACAATTGGTGGCAGCGGTGGGATCCAAAGAAATTATTTTACGTGTAACACTAGACAGCACAGAGTTTGAAATGGAGACACCCATCGTAAGGAAGAGAGTTATGCCTAGAAAGGTAGGACAGTACTTCGAAAGTCCAGCTCATCTGAATGACTCAGGAATAGAGGTCGATACGGGGTGTAGAACAAGTTTGCAGCCCACAAGTCGAGTAATGCCAGACAGTCCTAACTTTCAGGAGTTCGGGCAAAACTCGCAGGGTCTTTCTATTAAAAGCAAGTACGATCCAAGGCCAAGCTTAAAGAGAATCCTATGTATTTGGATACTCTTTGGTTTGATAGGATATGTTTCCTGATGGTGATGACCTGGATCTATTTTCCAGAAAACAAGATCGTGCAGGAATCTCAAGAAAATGCAGTAATTTCTCTAATATCGATAACAAGTATGATATTCCTTGTTACGGTAATCAGAGTGTTATGGAAGTATGGATCTGGTCTGCTGAATGCCAGTAAGGAAAGGGAAATTTCTTTGATATCCAGTGATACACCCTATACTGGTGGTAGTGCACCTAACGCCCCTACAGGTACCTGTCAGGAACCTAAAGTTTCTGGGCAATCTGGATACTCCTTATTTGGGTAATTAGTCTCCTCAGGGACTTGGGTACAATTTTGAATTTCCTACTACTGACGGGACACCTACAAACAGTCTTACGACACCAAATGCTGGTCAACGAACCAATGAATATCCAGTAAGGAGGACCTTCTCAGGGGCCAATAATGATGTTTGGGATGAGTTTCTACAATATTTCGAAAACATCTCAGAATTAAACTCATGGGGACCTTCTCGCAGAGTTCTACTTAGCACCTTGCGAGGACAGGCCGAGAGCTATGCCTATGGAATGCCCCTTACTGTACAGAGTGATTATGAGCAACTAAAGGATAAAATGAATCAAAGATTTGGACATTCTGCAATGAAAGAAAAATATATTGCGGATGTAAAATTAAGGAGACGACTACCGGGTGAGTCCCTGCGAGATTTAGGACAGGCCATCGAAGATTTGTACCGAAGGGCCTATCCAGGAAATCCAGATTTAGTTGAAGAAAATGCTATACAGTCCTTCTTAGATAAGTGTGGACAATCTGGGGATTTTCGACTTGCAGTGAAACGGACCAGACCCAGGACACTTCAAGAAGCAGTTCTTAATGCGATGCAAGAAGAGTGCTTGCGGATTGGAGAAAAAGAATTGCCAAAGGAGACAAAACCAGGCTATAGGCCTGTGTATGAGATTGAAGATGGGGAATGGAATAATGAAATAGCAGCTGCGGATACTGCCAAACCTCCAAGCGCGGGTGACGGATTCAACAGTATCTTTAAAAATGTGAGAACCCCAAGTACATGTACCAATGCAGGACCAGGGAGGAGGGGACGCCCTTACAACCCATGGTACCAGAGAGAAGGAGGAAGATTTCAACCAAGTGACAGTTCTCGAGACCTGAATTGTGTTGAAAAGAAAACTGTAAGGAATTATATTAACTCAGATGACTGATGCCGCAGGTCAGGTATCAGTCAACTTTATATGGCCTAAAAACCCTAGGGAAGAAAAGCCTAAATCAGGAAAAGGGGAAGAGAAAAGGTTGAAAATAAGGCCAGGGAAATCCAAATGTGAAGCTACTAGTGTGATAAACTTTTGATTTAATCTAATTACATTTTTATTTGATATAATTTTGTTCTTTTACTTTTTGTCTTTCTGTTGATTTTGTTTCGTATTTGTGTAATTTTGTTTTACGTATAACTCATGTTCATGTTTTAAATATTAATGACAATGGAAGTCATGTTTCAAAAGGAGGGACCAATGTAATGTTTTTGCTTTTATATAAAAATGCTATTGTTATAAATAAAACAGAGATAAGAATTTTGTTTATTTGATAAGCCCTAACCATGGTAACTGATTAGCGCCCTTATCTTGGAAGTCTAATTAGTGTCCTAATTAAT